TCTATAGCTCTTTCTTATATATAGATCTAGCTCTTTCTGCAAAGGCGCAAATAGCACCTTCTTATTATTATATTATTGTTGCTATTGTTCTTATCGCTATGCTACCTGTCTTGTCCAAACTAGTACCGCCGTTTAGGCCGGATCGCATACTATATAATGTAATCGAGATTCGAGAATAGCTATTTAATATACTAGAGTATAGATTGACGTACGATTCGGACCGTTTCGAGGTGTTAAAGGCCTACGTAAGCAACGTATATAAGGAGTCGAGGTCGGCGAGAACGAAGGATAGCTTAGAGTAGCGGTCGCACTAGTATTGTCGTTATAGGCGCGATTAGTAGCGAAATAGGGTGCTTCTAGATAGTATTCGTAAGGCTAAATACAATAAAGAGCCTTGTAATACTATAGTAGTCGTTATATCGCATTATCGGAAGGGGGCGACTAAACTATACGAAATTAGTATCCGCCGCTATCGAGTCGACCCTTCCGCGGTTAGTAAGGACCTACATTGCTATAACCTAAGATATATAGATATTAGGTCGTTAAACAACGCTCTAAGGGTGTTTCTCGAGGAGCTAATAGAACAGCGCAAATTTAATGTAGCCGAGGTGCTAGATTTCGTTAGAAATAGTCCTTCGAAGGACGAGTTTAGCAAGATAGGTAGGCAATATATAAAGGCAGGCACTGTTGCGTAGTCGAAGGTTAGGCCTAATCTAAGGAAGGTACGTAGTAACGACCGTGGAAATGCGAGTATCTAGCTAGACGACCTTCCTATCGCCCTCTAAGGCCTCTATAACGACCTAGATAGCAGGCCGCTCTAGTATTAGATAATAGAGAAGAAAATAAAGGGCAAGGTAGAGCGTAGTATTGTCTTCTAGACTAAGTGGCAGCGACAGTTGTTAAATACCGAGGCAGGGGATGTAAGTGCAGGTATTGTTATTACTATAGAAGGCGCATAACTAAGCTTCTAAGGCTTGCGTTCTACAGTTCCTATAACTAACTTTAAAAATTCAAAACATTACTAACTTACATGCTATATAGTTGTTCTTACTAGACGCAACTTATAAGACTACCGACCTTAGCTAGAACCTTTTTACTATCCATGTTCGTAACTAGTTAGGGTGTTAGTTGCTAGTAGGACACTTATTGCTAGAATCTTAGAAAGCTAAGCTAGTAGAAGCCGGTCTTCGAGTTATTAAGAATTAGTTACTATACTAGAATGCTATAGCCGCTATAATCGACGACTCGGCCTCTAAGTAGGCGGCAATTAACCTATTATAGAAGGATAAGAAACAGGTGCTTATTTACCTCTACTAGCGGCACGTTAAAGAGACCTTCCTTCGGTTATTTTTAGAGGCCCAATTTCTAGAGATTGTCAAGCGCTTTTACTACTCGATCTACTACGCTCGAAGCTCCGCCGACGTCGGTAACGATATAGCATAGATATAGGACTAGTTGAAAGAGAACAAGCCTACAGAATAGCAAAGCAAGGTAGAATACATACGGCATAATTAGGCTAGTCACACGTTACGGAAATGGGCTACTTAGGCAAGGCTTTATAGCCTATTATTAATACAAATAAGGACTACTTCGCCTCTCGAGGGTTATTACTACGCTATTAAGTTTAAGCGTAAGCGCAGCCTCGTACGCTACAACCTCTATAGCACTATCCTCGAGGTTCTTAAGGTAGACGATAGGCAGGCTTATAAGGCACAACTAGCTAGCTATAGGATCGGCAAACGTATATAATATTAGTATAAAAAGCGACTTCTAGGCTTCGAGAGTCTACAGCTACTAGCGGCTTAAGATCGCCTTCGAGAATAGGTAGATATTGCTATTAAGATAGAGGCTAAGGCGGCACCTGTATATAAGGGCATACTATGCAGTTATAACGGTGTAACACCTTCTCGTTATAACTGCCTCGCCTAGTTTCAAACACGCCTTCCTTACTACTATATTCTTCGTAACCACCTGTTTAATAGACTAGAAATTAGTAATATATAACAGCGACAATATGTCTAGCTATTTGCAGGCCTTAACGTTGTCTTAGCTTACGAATACTAGCGCGCTCTCGATACTTAACAACTCGTTATTAAAGGCTATTAAGAAGACGCTATTACCTTAGCACAAACACTACAATTAAGAGACCTTCGAGGCTACTTTAAGGAAGCGGTAGAAACACTAAATTTGAAGTATTAGCGGATAGCAGATAATCCTTCTATTAACCCTTCTATTAAGGACTTATTCTATGCCTTCTACGTACGGAAGGTTAAGGACTTCTCGGACAGTTGTTATGCACTAAATATTGACTATTTTATCGCTAATCTATAGGAGGTCTAATTTACAGGCGAGACCGAGCGCTAATAGACGACTTAACTACCTTCTAAACCTACTATACTAACTCGATTGCTACCGCTAGGCACGCCGGAAACTTATTACGTCTATGCTAATATAACCCTCCGACCGTTACTATTAAAACGGCGCGTTTAATCGTTACCTATTCGCTAACCTATGTTCTTATTACCTCCGCCGCTAGGTAACCTTACTCCGAGGCTAATTCCGCGCCGCGAGACAGTGCTAGAAACACAGTCCTTATAACCGCTTAATTTGGATAATATAGAAGAGGTAGATTTAATAGGAGATACAATACCGCTAGTGCGAGGTCTACCTGCGCCGCTAGGTACTTACTATTTAACTAACTACTAGCATTAGAGTGAGCTATTATAGGTCTTTATATACGGTATTCGCGAGATTAACGGCATTGCTATAGACGACCGTTGCTTTACCGATTCCGGCCTCTCGTCCTTTAAGGAGCTTCTTATCTTCTATAACGTAGACTAGGACACTATAGATACGACAATAAGCTATATAAGAGACGAGGATTACGAACGAGCGGCTAGGCGACTAACTAGCTAGACAATAGACGACTTAGAAGACGACGCCGCTAATAACTTGCCTAGTAACGAGCGAATTAGACGAGAATTAAGAGGCGTGAGGACATACAGTAACCGCTAGTTAACCGCTAGTAGTAGTAGTGAGTTAATAACAACTCGTAGACTACGTACTAAGCAATAATAATAACGAGGTCGAAGAGATAGTAATTAGCGAGGGCAAGCCTTCCGCTATAGTCGTAGAAGGCGGTAATTCTATAGCAATTCTATAACAATAACTCTTAGTCTATATAATAGTCTCGTCTACTGCAAAATTGCCGCTTCTATAATAGTTAACCGATAGGCTCGAGAGAGGCGCCCTTCTTAACCTAAATCGTTACTACGCCGAGTAGTTCTAAACGCTACTAAACTAGAGGATTGCGGGTGGCTTATTGCCTAGTAAACGCTAGTAAAAGACTGTGCCCCTAACTCCGCTCTAGGTTCAGCTAAAACACCTGACATCCAGGATAAATCACGCTGTAAAGTTAGAACCCTAATGGTGCGGCTGAGCACATGCAGTCAGTCCTCGGGACCCTACCCCTACAGACGTCCGCCTTCTCGGATGACCTGTGTCCAGGATGAGAGACAATAAGCCGAGCAGCCAGGCGCTCCAGATTGGACCATATTGGTCGACCATTCCTCCGCTTCCGGTGTGCTTTCTCGGAGGCCAGATGTTCGAACGAGCTCAGAGTCGATGAGCGCTAATGCAGGACTAATCCTTACTGGAGCCGAAGACTGCAGGCAGTGCCGGCGTGAGTCTCGTTGCGGATTTGTCGGACGACCTCATCCTCCAAATCATGCGTCCCAGGTCAGGAAGACGGTAGCTAGAACCACTTGAAAGCACTTCCACGCGGCTTCCTCTGCAGGCAGCCGATCAATGGCCGCACAGAAGATCTTCCACGCGAATCTTGCCCAAGACCACGCACGACAACATAATGGAGACGTAAATAACACTACCAGTATGTTGGCTCATACGGCATTTTAACGGTCGCTCATACATCTCAGCGAACAACTACACCTTCGCCGCAAACGCTCGGCCATTGACGCCGTTCGACAAGGCGCAAGTGAATGCAGAATTCATTGACGCCGCCCGAAAAGGCCAAATCTCTCGACTGACCCACCTGTGGCACGAAGGTGCAGAAAAAAATCATGCAGACAGCTCTGGCTTGACGGCCCTTCATCATGCCATCCTCGCTGGCCGCATGGACTCCGTCTCTCAGCTCATTAATATTGGTGTCAATATGGATGTCGTCAACGCAGACTACGGTACACCGCTTTGTCTCGCAGTCTTGCAAATGCAGGGAAATCTGATGAAGCTCCTGCTCGACCACAATGCCAGCACGGGAACCGTGGGGGGTAAAGTCGGCTTAGCACTACACGCTGCTTGCTATACTGGAAATGTCGGAATTGTCCAGTTGCTCGTCGACAATGCGCAAGACCTTCGGCTCAATGACACGGTCACAATTAGATGGTCTGAAGCCGCAGACCTGAAACTGACCTCTACTTTGTCGCGAAGCTATCGAGGGACACCTGTCAGCCACTGTACGGCTCTTTCCGTTGCTGCTTATGAAGGCTTTGAAGACATCGCCTCATACCTCATCGGACGTGGTGCCGACGTCAATGCTCATGGACCTTTGGAACAGGCCTCGGGAGGGCGATGGGCAGGTGCTACGCCGCTCATGTATGCCGCGATGCGAAACAAGCAAGCTCTTACGTCCTTGCTACTTATGCATGGTGCAAATTGCGACCTCAAAGACTCCCGTGGCTCTTGTGCGCTCAACTATGCTGCAAGAAATGGCAATGCAAGAATCATTAGGAAGCTGCTGGAGTACAACGCGTCCCCATACATTCTGGATGTCGATGGATATGCGCCACTTCACGCCGCGGTGGTGCAAAATAGGGCCAATTGCGTTACCGAATTAGCACAAATGGGCAGCGACCTGGTCAACAAAGATTCTCTTGCTGGTTATCCTTTGGCCATTGCGGCTGGCTCAGGCCTTGTCGAATGCCTCTCGGCACTTCTAAAGTACGGCGCTAAAACTGATACGACTGACGACTTTGGTTGGACCGCGTTGATGAAAGCTGTGAACGGAGGTCACGTAACGTGCGTTCGAGAACTTGTGCAGAAAGGAACTCATTTGGAGATGCGGAATGAAGACGGCAAGACAGCTCTGGGTATTGCAGCAGATCAGAACCAAGCGGAGATTATCGCCATACTTCTGGACGCTTGTGCCAACGTCAACTCTCGCTCTTCCGGCTCGAAGACTCCTATGATGATTGCAGCCGAGAAATCACACATAGCGGCCATGAGAGCTTTGACTCGACATAAAGTCGACTTGAACGTCAGGTGCGCACTGAAACACACAGCATTGTCGCGATCCGTAAAGAGGAAGCACACTGAAGCTGTCTTGCTCTTAGTGAAGGCCGGTGCAGATGTCAATGCTCGATTCGAACACGACAAAACGCTCCTAATCGACACTGTAGAATCTGGCGACCTTGAGATTGTACAGATCTTGGTAGATTTCGGCGCCGACATTCGTCTCGAATCTTCCAAGGGAAAGACAGCCACTTTGTACGCTGCAGAAAGTGGCCATGTGGAATGCCTGCGCGTCCTGGTTGACAACGGTGCGGATCTGTTTGCAGCCGATGATCGCGGCAGGACTGCGGTCATGGAAGCTGCACGTGAAGGTCGGACCGAGTGCTTGAAGCTGCTCATAGAAAGGAGGCCACTGGCGGAGAAGTCTCTACTCAATTTCCAGGATAAATTTGGCTGCACGGCCCTGGCTCTGGCTGCACGAGGTGGTCACGATGAATGCGTCACGCTTCTTCTGGGTGCCAATGCCGATGTCAACATCGCGGATAAGCAAGGTCTCACGGCTCTAATCGATGCTTGCGAGACTAGAAAGTGGTCATGCGCCAGACTTCTGGTCGAGTCCGGCGCCGGAGTCGGTGCAGCTACAGAGGGCGGTCAGACGGCTCTTCATCTAGCTGCACTTAAGGGAAATGTTGCCACGGTGACATTGCTGCTGAATAACTCCGCGGCAATAGATCATGAGGACAAGGAAGGCAAGACGCCGCTGGGCATAGCTGCAGAGAATGGTCACCGCTCAACTGCTCGCGAGTTGCTGCAGCGAGGAGCGAAGATGCCCATGGGAATCGACGCACACCCGCTTGTGCTTGCAGCCAAGTCCGATCATTTGAAAGTCGTCCACGAGCTGTTGAAGTACGATTCAGATTCTGGTACCATCGCGAGCGCGATAGTTGATAGTGCCATCGCAGTCGCAGCTGAAAGTGGCCATCCCAGGATTGTAGAGAGCTTGCGAGTGCATCAAAGCAAGTCGAACACTGGACGCTTAGCCCAGGCAAGGCGTGCGTCCGCAATCTCCACTCCCAAGGCGCCTGCCCACAAGCTACAAAATAGGCGAGACAATAACTCAGATTCCGACCCAGAGTCCGCAAAACTCAGAGCAGCCAGCGCGAGCGCGCGAAAAAGCACGCCATCTCCATCTGGCCGACGATGAAATGGCGTTGCTACTGTTAGTCTCGGGACACATATCCAAATACATGAGAGGTCCACGCAACTGTATCGGTACACTCCCTGAATGTGCTGCAATCAGCATTCGTTTGTCCTTGGAATCTGGTCGACGAAGCTCGCTGCAACAATCTGGAGTTCCGGCATTGATACCATCCGAACAGTCTAGCGGCATCGCTGCAGCCCAAGTTGTCGAAGTCGTTGACGACTTTGTCTTGGTGATTGAAGGCGAGGCGCTATGGCCCCAACCTCGGACGGCAGCAAGGCCAACGAAGGCGAGTGGTGCTGATCTCATCTTTGTCTTCTCAACGAGTCGAAATGCGTTGGGGGCAGCAGGGCTTAGAGATGCGATGGCCATCTTATCTTCGAACAAACAGTACTGCCTACCTTCGATTATGGCTTCCCACAGAAAGCCAGCTCTCAATTCGCTATGCGACATCTCGGACAAGCTCGCAGTCATGGAATCAGCCCATCCATTCTCTTGGCATGAGTCCAAGCGATATTTGACCTTGTTTGGCTACATACTGGAATTCCCAGGCTATTTACACTATGCTTTGCGGGCTTCGAATCGCCACATGCACCTTTTTCTGCCACGAGTCTATTGCGTTGGACTAGATCGGAGCCATCCTTTAATGTCAGATGTCGGAGGCTAGGCGCTCTTGTCAAGATTGTCATGAGGTTTGCTGCAGAGTGCGGATGACCAACAGCATTCCATGTCGATAAATGCAGCGTCGTCGCCATCTGCAAGATGCTCGTGAAGCAAATGTTTCTGGTGGTGTTCCCGGAAATGGTGTGAGCTGGGAACGACCATGCTGCACCCCAGCCTTTCGTTCCTTGGGCCACTTCCTTGAAGTTCCCGATGTGCCACTCTGTAACAATGACATTGCTTGCGAGCACAGCTTCAGCGACTGCTATGAAGGGCCACGAGGTCTCGTGACTGATTCTGACCCTGCAGTCATCGGCGCTATGTATCTCAATAATCTGGAGCCCGTTGGATCTGCCGAATACACGGAAAAGTTTCTTGAGTCGGTTAACGTATGCTCTCTTAGGCTTGACGTGCCATGACTCTTCGATAACGAATACCAAACATCGCACGGCTTCAACAATCTGATCGTTACCGAATTCATTGTGCAGTACCTGTTCGACTCTCTTCACGTCGCCAAAGCAGAATCTGATTTTTGCGAAATGCCTTTTGATGAACAAGTTCCGGAGCTTGGAACTGCAGTCCGCACCCGCCTGTCTGAGAGCTCCGAGCTCATCTCGCAAGAGGTGTTCAGCGATACTCTCATAAAACTCAGCGGGCAGATCTGTCAGATTGGTCATTTGGGGTGGATACTGCGCGTAACCTTGCAGCTGACATGCTGACTGGGACTATTTCTACGGACACGTCTAGTTGAGAACTCCATTACTGCCTCGCCTTTGTTTTCCCTTCAAGCACGATTTTTGAGCCCACACACGTTGTCTCAGGCACCTGACACTTTCACTCGAGTCTCTGAAAAGACTAGTGGCAGTCTTTTTGGTAGGCGGCATCGTGCTGGGAGCAAACACATGCTTCGCAAGCTCAGGACGGATGCCGGAAGTATCGAAGCGCATAAGAAGGAAGTAGCTCTGGCTCTAGTAAAACACAACAACTATATCTATCGCGATTCTCGGAGCTGGGCCTGCTGGTCTTACTCTAGGTTACACCGTCTACGAACGCGATGCTTCGGAGAAAGTTCTCTCCATCAAGTCGGTTGTCTGGACTTGCATCCAGCACCGGGGCAGGTCGCATTGAGAGTAGCTGGCCTTTTCGACCAGGTCGAAAATTTGGCAAGATACGATGCACAAGAAGTGCAAGTCATGGGATCAGATGGCGAAGTCATATTCAATCGAAAGCACGAGGGCCAAGAGGAAGATGCGAAGACCGATCGAAGCGATCTACGAGATATCCTGCTCAATCTTATACCAAAGGATTCTTTCGTTTGTCGACAGCGCTATCTTGATATTGCAAAAACATCCGCCTCAGGCCGTGGAATATCTCTTGGATGAAAATCACAGACTTTCTAGCGAGAACAGCATCTACATTGAAAGACGCGGAGAAGTTGATCGTCTTAGCAACACCATTGCTGACCTTCACTACAAGCTTGCTAACCTCAACTCCAAGCTTGCTGAACATTCGAACCTTGTCGAGGAGAAGAGTTGGCTTCGGCGCTCGATCATCCAAGAAGATGCACTCATTGCTCAGCTACCGGCTGATCTACAGCGCTTGCAGCAGGCATCACAATCGCAGCGCTTCGCGCCACTACCGCGACAGCAGGGCTACTGGGAGGCACCGGGGATGCAGAATCAGGCTACATTTGAACAGCAACGTGGTCAGCCCTTGCCTCGAACTCATGCGTCCATTGCTCCCGCACGGGGAAGCGATAGCCAGGCACAGGAACAGGGCGCAAATGGTCTAGGCACTGTTGAGGCCAGGTCTCGAGTTGGGGAGCAAGGAAAATCAGTGAATGATAGGAGAGAGACCTAGGCAAGATTGAGCTCCTGCTCAGGTGTTTGGTGGGAGAACCTGATCGCAGATGCAGATGATGAGCTGGATGTAGCGTTGCAAGCACAGTACCAGATAGTGCGTTACACGGCCGAATTGCGAGATTGCTTTGCTTCCTTAGCTTACGGGTACTGTCCTTCAGATGTTGTATTATGCTATGCAATAAGTCGCGCCATGCTGTCGGAGGGATGGAAATTAGCGCGTATCAGTGTCTTTGCCGAGTATCTACCGTACTATACAAATTAGGTGTAGAATGCGATCCGCTGCGAAAGCCTTTCTTACTTCTATCTATTCACGACCTCTTAGTAAGCCTTAAGGTTAAGAGCTAGGCATTTTAGCACTCTCTCGTCTATTCTATTGCTACGCTAGTATACTAAGAGCCTCGAAGCGACTATATAAGCTTACTACGAAGAAGAAGGAAGCCCTCGAAGCCGCCGCTACTAAGAAACAACGACGTAAAGAGCTACTACTATTAAGTAATAGTCCGGAAGAGCTAAATACTAACGACGAGTTGCTAGATTTAACGACTTCTTAGCGCTAAGACTCTATAGAAGTAGATATCGATAAAGACTATAGCTTAGAAGAAGATAAAGACGACGAGAACAAGCGAGAGGTATTCGAATACACTATATAGTAGAACCTATATACGGACAAGCAGAAGGAAGCCTTGCTAAGTAAGTGCTATCTAAGTAAGCTAAGCTACGAGTCGCCTTGTAAGGCCGTAGACTACTAGTTTAACGACTAGCGTAATAAGGCTAATAACCGACTTATATTTAGTCTTAAAAGCGCTACTATTATAGCCTCTACGGATAAGGTAAAGGCTAAATACTTCTACCGTAGCTCTAGTATAATAGACCTCAATTTTAAGCGCGTATATACTATACTAGCTGTCTAGAATAGTTAAGGCAAGAAGGGCCTGCGACTTGAGTTCAAACTCGCTATTATAGCTAAGCTAACCGCTATTGCTAAAGAGCCTGCAACTTAACAACTACGGCGGACTTAATAGGCTTCTTAGAGGCTACGGAATATAGCGACTTAGCAATAGTTAGCTACCCTACTAGCTAAAGGGCGCTCGGAAGATAATAAAGCGACTCCTAACGATAACAATAGCGACCTAACTAGCTCTCTAACGGACCTGCGATACGCCCTTGCTTAGCGCTAGCCCTATAAGAATAGATACTGTCTAAACAAGGGTAGATTATGCTAGTTTAGTAGTCCGGACAGGGCAGAAGACTACTACAAGATCTATCCGGAAATAGCCGCTAGATAGGTTAAGGGGACTCGAGAGGCCAATCCGGCTAGAAGGCTAACAATCGACGACCCTAGAGCGGCACTAGCATTAAAGATATAGAAGTAACGAGACAAGCAGTTGTCTAATCTATTTAGATAGCAAGGCAGTAGTAGTAGTAGTAGTAGACGTACTATCGCACTAATAACGCTAACTCTAGTAGTAATCTATAACTATTATAGCTAGTCTAATAGTAGGGGTCGTAGAGGCGCTATTTCTAGTCTACCGGCTTCTAGTCTACTAGTTAGACTACAATCAAGTCTAGTTAGCGGCTTAATCGCTTCCTATCAATCTTATACCGCCGATATAGAATTAATAGGCTTCTTTAGCTAGTTGCGTAAAGAGTTGACTAGTAGCTAGAGTAAGCGATACGCCGATATAGCTAATATTAAGCGTATCTACGAGGAAGGCGACTTCTCACTTAAATAGCTTAGAAGGGTCAAATTGAGCGATTAGGTCCGCTATAGACTTAAGGAAGGCTAATACGCTCGATTTATCGCCGTAGTAGGGCGATATATTAATAAGGAAGTCCGTAAGCAGCGACTTAGTCGTATTAATAAGTCGGACGATAGCCTATTCGTTAGTTAGCTGCAGAAGCGCTGTTTTAGTATAGAAGCGAGCTAGAAGCGAGGATTTCCGGGTATAGGTCGGCGGCTTAATAGCTAATATTTAGTTTAACTAATGTCGCTTCTTATTCTACTAATACTACGTATTTCTATATAGTATAAATTAGAGGAGCATTAGATAGATATAGTCTCGGCTCTCTATACTTGTAGTAATAAAAAACAATGCGTTATAGTATTGCGCTAGTGCCTAGTTAGAGTAGTTAAAATCAGCTTCTTAAGCGTAGACCCGCTAAGCTTAACCGCCGAGCAAAGCCGAGTAGAAGCCGAAATTTCGGTAGTCTCGGCGCAGAGAAAGCGGCGGAAGGTCGCAAATTCCCTAATATATTGCTAATACTATATCTTTACTATACCTGCATATTTTTTAAAACGGACAACGGGAGGTTATTTCAAGTTAGTATAGCTAATAGTGTTATTTCCTACCGAGGAGGGCATATAGACGTATTGTTGTAGTAGTATAGTAATACCCTATTAGTCGTTATAGATTCCGGCTTTCTAAGCGGGTTCTCTCCGGACTGCTACTCGATTACGATACGAATAGCGACCTACTAGCGGCACTAGTTTAAATAATCTCGAGGTAACACTAGCGATAGAAACGGCTTAGAATCTACCGGATTCTAGGCTCTTTAATCGCAATAGCTATCGGTAGCGTATTAGAAGTATATCGATTAGGTATCGCTATAGGTTTAACTAATTCTTTATAGGTTGCCGACAGTTAAGAAGAAGAGGACCTTATGCGAGACGCTACTACTATATTACCGACTACTATATTACCGTTAGCTATTAATTTAAGAGGCTCGTTACTATAGCTAACATTACTAGATCTATAGTATATAGAAGCAATAATGAAAGAGCAAGCTACTAATACTACGCGTGCTATTATAGATAAAATAAGGAAGGAGATAGACGAGTTAAGAAGCCGTATTACTAAGCTAGAGATAATAGTTAGTATAAGTGAGACTATAAGGGAGTAACTACAAGGTCGATATTAGCGATAACCTACTCGCTAGAACTACGATCTTGCTATTGTTTAAGTATCTAGTTAGTTAATAGTATACCGTATAAATTTGCCGAAGTCTACGAAGCAATTAGCCTCGTTAATATACTTCTTAACCTATGCCTTAAGTACGTTAAATAACAACTTAATAGGGTTGAAGTCTAGCGAATACGGAGGTAGGTGTCGAAGGTAGATACCTACCGCCGCTACGATATCCTTTATACGCTAAGTGCGGTAGATTAACGCGTTATCTATAATAATAAACATACTAGGCTCTATTTAAGGCAGTACTATATACTGTAACTATACCTCGAAGATCTCCGCGGTAATAGAACCTTAGTAGATAATAGTGCTATTAAGATAACTATTAACTAATATAGCCGGTAGGACACTCTATCGCTTTAACCTTACCGCCGACCCTTTTTTAAAGATAGGGCGGTTAACTAGACCGTATCTATATTTCCGCTATCTAGTACGCTCGTTAGAGGCGCTCTTATCGATATATACTACCTTATACGCCGGCATAGCTATTTGCCTTATCTTAAAGTCGTCTCGAAGGTCCTAGTTCTATTTTGCCGTAAACTATATCGCTTTCTTCCTTATCTAGCTATGCCTTTTTAGTACTCGCGATACCGTCGACTAGCTAATAATAACGTCGTATTCGTCGTATAGATACTATACTATCTCGTCTTAGTAGCTATACGGTCGGTCGTTAAGGAATTCGAAGATATGCTATAGAAATAGGTAGATTAGTTAAACTGCGACTATATGCGCTAGGCGATACGATACTACCTATATTCTTAAAGATTAGCAATAGCGACCGTAGACGACCTAACCTCGCAAGGTCTTTAATATAGAACATACTAAATAGGCGATAATTGTTATAGATCTTGTCGATACTACGCCTAGCGACATTTAGTAGGTTAGAGATAGCGATATTAGACAACTCGCTCTCGTCGAATAGGCGTTTAATCTTATTAAGCTAATAGTCTAGTAACCGCGCTATTAACAACACCTTCGAGGGGTATATACTATAGAAATAGCGACGACGAGGTGTAGTATCATTTTGGAAGAGAAGTGGGAAACCGCTAAGAAGCTAATTCTATACTAATTATAGTGCAGCCACACCACAGTAAATTCCATGGTCCTCCGAGCGCATAGCGCGACATATTGCATAGCGTAATAGAAATCTTGGCCAAGTTTTCGTTGCGCTGATTCCCCGTCTCCAATATTGTGCCTGCCAGTCTTAATGCCGCGTGCATGAAAAAAATCTTCTCAACATGAAATATTCGTTGTTTAGAGAAGGACATTCCACCGCAAGCGGGCACTGGAATTTCTAGACAAAGACAAAGACTTCACCAAACTTTTTGATCTTCGACAGACCATCTCATAGACAAGTCCATTCCAGCAAGGAAGACAACGGTAAATTTTCCCAAGTGTCGTTGACTGATCCGCGGAGATCTTTATCATGCACAACCCAGCAAGAATCTTTGCAACTCGAGGCACTGATGTCCTCAACCGCTATGGCCTAGTGGAAGACACTCTGGGAGACTTGCCGATTTCAGTGCTGTTTGCTTGCTATTTTTTCGTCCTGAGCGGATGTAGTCTATTACTGCTCAGGCTCGTCAAGAAAATGTAAAGCTGCTTTGGGAACGGCACCCAGTACACGCAACGATGCGAAACTTTGTGGAGGATATGGCGTTCCACACACTTCGCAGACCTGCTATGGCCATAGCTTCCATTCTCAGCATCATGCAACATATGTTGGCTACGGGGAAGAAGAGATTTGAGGGCAGAAGAAACTTTCTCAGCCAGATCTTGGGTCCAGTGCATAAAGTCTTTCGGCGTCTGGAAAGCGTCATCGATCAATATTCTATTATTCCAGATTTCGACATCGAACTCTATGCCTACGGCTGAGCAGTTAGTACGGGTACTATACGGGCGAGACTACCGGTTTCGGACCAAGAACCGCATCAGATCGAAGGATTCTCCATACTGTTCTTGGGCCGTGCGACAGACGAAGTGCAGAGGTCGCATTGCTGAAGCGAAATTGGAGAGCGAACTGAGGCCGCGAGATCTGAAAGCAGGAGATGCGTAGTTTCACCGGCTTTTTCGCAGGATAGAAGATAGAACTATATGCCGCGAGTCTTCAGCTTGACTTCTCGTGTCGGCCGAGAGTTGGGGAACAATTTTCGTGCTCGCATACCAGAAAGGCTCATAGAAAGCTGACTCTTCTGTGCAACAGGTCTCCAATGAGGAGACAGGGCGCTGGGAGGATCCGGAGGGCAGACAATTCGATGACAACGGCGTAAGGGGCATTTGCGGTGATGCTGAAAGTGCAATGCGGGTGATATAGTACAGAGAGAATACTTCGGGGATGCTCTGAGACGTTCTCGAGTCCAGAACAGCTCGCCTCTTGCAAATTGCCTCAAATGATGACTACAGGCTAGATTAGTAGGTCGATGAGAGAGAGAGAAAGCCTAAAGGTATGCGGCAGGGGCCCAGAGACGACGCTATATAAGAATTCATAGTCGAAGTTACTGTATAGTACGCCGTAGCTCCTCCTTCGTCTCCTCCCCAACAACAACCATCTGTCTCTCTATTTGCTGTTCTTTTTACGCCATGTGCAAGTAATTTCTCTTAGAAATCCAGTGTAGAGTCCAATGGCATAATATGCATGAATGCTGATTTCATTACGGCTACTTCAACTTCCAGACCAGAACTCCGGCGCCGGGCACATCGCCTTTCTTGCCGATGATCAGGTCGCCGTCAACGTCAGGGTGGCTTTGCGCGTCCCAGCCGTAGTTGATTGCCCAAAGCAAATTGCCTCGCTTCACCAATCTCAGTGTGGCACCAAGGTCATTCTTCTTGTCTACATCTCGACCGATAACGTCCTTGATTCCAGCCTGAGCAGCCACATCACCAATGTAAGAGATAAGCAAGTCTGTTGTCGGGTTGAAAGCAAGGTAGTGCAGGTTGTCCTTGGCACAAGCAGCGGGTTTGCCTGGTCGGTGTGGCGATGTGTACGAGATGGTTACGTTGCTCGTTTCGTTATCCCGAACACACTCAATCCATTCCTCGCGAGCTGTGATGTTGTACTTCGTCCCGTCGTATGATACACCACTCCCTGCATAGTCTGGAGGAGTTTCCACACGTGTCACGCGCATCGGCAAACGTGATCGCAAGGTGCCAGCCGAAGGGGTGAGGCCTGGCGGATATGCGAAGTCGGGCGTCCTGCTTCCTGTATGCGGTCCAAAAACGACCGGTCCTGAGAAATTGGCCAAAGCTTTATCGAAGGCGTCTGGAATGATCGGGAGAGTCGGCACCACTACCATTTTGTACCCATCCAAGGCTTGCTCTGGGGATATGAGGTCGATGCTGAGACCGAGCCGCCGCAACGAGGAGTAGAATGTGTACATCAAAGTGATGTACGTCAATGCAGGATTGGTATAGCCAGCGTCTTTGACAGACCAGGATCCACTGTGTGGCTCGATGACCCACACCCAGTAAGACGTGTAGTCGAAGACTAGCGCCACATCTGCTTGACCCTCTTCGCTGATCCCTTGCGCACGCAGCTTTGGAAGGTCGTTTTGAGCAAATTCTTGTGACTCGATATAACCCTGGTCCTCCGAGTTATCGGAGACAAATAGACCAGAAAGCGTTTGCTCCTGGGCGTAAGGCACTTGCCGCCAACGGAAGTAGTTGACCAGGTCTCCAGCAGCAGCGAAAGTCTCGTGAGTCCAGAGACGCACCATGCCCTCCAACGGCGAGACACGATAGGTGTTCCAATTCAGCACTCCCGGTTGCATCTCCATCACTCCGAAAGGACCAAAGTTCTTGTTGTACGCAGCACCCGAGATTCCCCGGTAGAGTGCGTGATTCAAAGCTTGAAAATCAGGCAATCCAGTGCGTGAATAGCCTGCGAGCTCTGCATCAGATAACGGTACCGCAGCGATGCCAGCCAATGCGTAGGAGTCGAAAGTGGCGAGGTCGATCCCGACTTCGCGACTGAACTTGTAATGGTCGAAGTCTGTGAAAAACACCATGAAATTCGTTGTGATAAAATGGCTTGGAGCGTACTCTCTGATGATAGCAACCTGCTCCTTTGCGAAATCAATGACCATATCGGAGGAGAATTTGTACCAATCCAGCGTGTGCGCTTCGTTGTTCGTGTATACTTCCAGGTAGGGGGGCTGGACAGCATCGAAGCTAGCATATTGCGAAGACCAGAAGACACGACCTTGCGCATCGTTCATCTTCTCGATAGTACCGTATTTTTCTTGCAGCCATGATCGAAATCGAATTTTAGCGTTGTGGTCATAGCTGCGCACTGTATCGTGGCAGCCGAATTCACTGCAGAAGTGTTAGTATTCCCCTAGAGGCCATGGACGCAGAAAGTTCATACTTGTCCAATTGCCAACCAACGACAGTTGAGTGACTCCCATAGCGCTCTGCGAGCTTTTGTGTGATCTTTTGGCTTTGCACGCGGTAGTCGAATGAGGAGAAGCTGTAATGCCTCCGAGAGCCAAAGAGGAGGGTAGTATTGGTTCGATCGACGAAGCTTGCATCGTACTTTTCCGTCAACCAATTTGGAGGGGCCGCAGTGGGTGTGCCAATGATCGCCTTCAATCCGTACTTGCCAAAAAGATCCAAAGTCTTGTCGAGGAGAGTAAAGTTATATTGGCCTTCGGTAGGTTCCAGGTCCGTCCAGTCGAACTCGCCGACGCGGACATATGAGAAGTTGCTGTCGCGCATTCGCGCCACGTCAGATTCCCACATCCATTCCGGCCACTGCGAAGGATAATAATCGACCGCAAGATGGATGCCGCTTGGCCAACGGCTTGCATCGGGAGCAAAAGTGACGTTTGGGACGGCCTCTTGATATCCATTGTTGCGGATTGTTACACTATTGGTGACACGTGAGAAAAGCAGAGCTAGCACGCTTAGCTTGGTAGCCATAGTGGTACGGTAAGAGAGTGACGATCAAGGTAACGGCTTGACCATCCAAGCGGTATATGAGGTACCTCGCACAATCATATCCAGGGCAGAATTGAGACAGCACTCCGCTCCGGCATTGTGTGGAGTCCTTGTCGTCCATCTTTGCGGCTAGGAGGCAGTCGCATTAGGTGCTCGGTTCTTCGGGACGGTATATAACGGTACAGCGCCAAGACGGGTGATCTTTAGGCGGAGCTTCGGGGAGGATCTCTGGGATGCAGTCAAAGTCCTACACAACCGCATTCACCTATGCAAGTAGAGATTGTGCATCGGATATATCCACCATCATCATCGAATACGAATCTCGCAGACAACTCCTGTAAGATGCTATCAGCCACTGCTGCAGTTGTGCTTGTACACGGCCCGATTGTCATCGGTTGAATCGATAACCGGCTTCTGGCTGTCAGATGTGCTCAAATCGACTCGGTCTCCCGTGTCAGATCGAAATGATCCTAGCTTCGCCTGAAGCTCAAGGGATAGTTCAGAGTGCTTTCCAGAGGATGAGGTGGTGTCAGTGCTTGGCAAAGTGAAGATGGACAAGCTCCTCGGCGCAGCGTGGATGCCTTTAGTGCTCGTTCTGTCGATGAAGACCAGAAGGTTGGGATACGCAGCGTTGATCAAGTTGAAGTGCAGTTCGATGATCATGATGATTATGAGCTCAATTGCCGACTGTGTGAATCCCGGAACGAAGATGTTGCATGGCGTATGTGCTAGACGAACGGTGATAAGGCCGACCAGACTGAATTATGTCAGTGCTGAATGAAGTTCTTGGACGGCTGTAAGCATACCATGGTGCGAGTCCAAACCAGAGGACTGCTCGAAACTTTCTATACCATGCAAGTCTGGCGGCAATTATCATTCGAGTAGTCGATCCAAACAGTACAGCAAGGACGATGGCGTGTGATGCTCCAAATACGATCCAAGCGGCTTTCTAGATCAGGTCAGCAACAACTTTCCGAGCGGAAACGAAAAGTTACTTGCTGGTACGGATTCTTCCGTAGCCGTGTAAAGCGCTGTTGTGACGATGGCCGGCACGATCCAGACTACCGACAAGATATGGCCAGCTCTGACGACAGTGCGATGGATCAAATCGTCTTCGGTGAGATTCTGCAGGAACATGCTATACGAAGCCGTTCCGAGGCCTTTGGTAAGGAAGAACAACACAAAGCTAACAGAGAGCAATACGCTGATTCTGTAGTCATTGCCTTGAGGAAGCAAATTGTCCTTCAACCCAAAGCCTTCGTGGACTGCGAGAGCAAGGCTTGCAGTGTACGCAATGCTGCTCAGCCATGCGAGGAGCAGCATAGTATCCTCATGCCGGTAAAGTTGTCTCCAAGGCCATCGGGTCTGCAGGCGGATCGCTACCGAGATGGTGGAATATGCAAGCATGAGAGCGGCAGCAAGGATGACCTTGGCGCCGTGGTCGTCTGCAGTAATCCTCGCAGAATCCATCAATTCAGATCACATCTGGCAAATCGAAGCATGGAAAATCGAGCAATCTAAGGATCCAGTCCAGACGGGACGGGTGCAAGACATATTGGCAAGATGGTGCCGTGATGAATGATTTCCCTTGCAGCAGCTGAGCAGATGAAATGTGGTCGCCCTGAGACCGATGGGTGGTGTTCTGGTTGGATGGGCTCGGGGTTCGTGCTCGGTGGCAGGTGGGCCGTGGCGCGTAAGATCGTCATTCCGCCTCTTCATCTCACCTCACAAGCCAAAGCCAAGCGTGGTTCATCATGATGAGTTTGGCGAGGCCGTCGGCTTACCAGGAACAGACGAGCCGGCCATACATACCTCTACCGCGCCGCGGCTCCGTACCCGGTCGGGCAATCCCGACATGGGACACGTTCTTGGCTGCTGGAAGGATTCGCCACTCTTCAACGAGCCACGCCACGCCACGCCACGCCACGCTCCGCCACTTTTGACCCCCGCCATACCAGACTCCACACTCCCACCGTGGGGTCACCCAAACTCTGCACTCCATACAGCGTCTCTACACTTCGGAGTGAAAGTGACTAGGGCCGGACCGCTGAATAACAAGTGACTATTCGCTGTAATCCTTGCTTCTCAGGGATTTGGTGAATACCCGCTTTCACTCCGAAGTGTTCAGACGCTGTATTGGGGCAGCGCGAAGGAAGAGGCCTTGAACTTTCGCGGACCGCTCTTCCACGGTCTCTGCCGCTAGTGCTGCCTCGCCGGACCAGCCTTCTGAATGGTGCACTGAGCGGATCCCCATCATTGCCATTTCTACAGGCCAGCCCTTAGGGACCTTCAGAAGCCACCAATTTCACGCAGTCGGGGAATAAGGTGGATACGAAGGTTACTACCGCATCCTTCGAGGGCTGGTTTTCTACCCCTGCGAGTTATCGACTCGTAGACCTAGACCGTGCTTTTAAATAGGCCTATTTAAAAGTATATAAGACGCTATATTAATAACTAATAGGGGCTATATTCCTTTATTAACTATAAGAAGTTAGGTAGTAGAAGAATGTAGAAAGAGGCTTAACCCCTAACTAGCTTAGCTTATTAAAGGCAAATTAGCCTCTAAGCACTAAAGAACTACTATAACTAGCGATAGTAAGGTAGAAAGTAGCTATTAGGTCTTCGAGATAGTACGAGAGGGTACTAGCTTATATATACGGAGGTCTAGGTATATAGCCGTTAGTATAATAATAGAATATAGGGGTTGTTAGTAATTGTAGTAGTATAGGTCCTAGGATAAGAGGCACCTCTAAGGTAGTAGATATCGTAGATTATTAGCTAAATATACTATTTCCTCGATTATAGCTACCCTCGCTACCCTCGCTACCGGGCTGCCCTTAGTACCCTATCTTATTACTCTCGAGTTATCGACCTAGGCTCCGGCTCTTCTACTCCTACCTTTGCTATACTAGTCTATCTACTACTACTAGCGCCGCCTATATCTATTATAGCAGCTCTTTAAGGTCCGCCTCTTTATATCGATATGTCTTTATTATTACCGCTACCGTAGCACTTACTCGGTAGTCTATTGCCTATAATTTAGTTAGTTATTAAGCGGCTACTACTATATAGTCGCTCTATGTCCGTTACGGTAGCAAGCTTATTAACTAAATTAAGCTATAGCGAATTAAGCGGCTATAGTAGTATAGCTACTAAACAGACCCTAAATTTAACTCTACTAAGGCCGGTTGTTACTAGAGGTATAGACACCTCCTTAATAGCTTACCTTTAGCGGCAATAATAGGCTATAGCTTAATAGCCTATACTAGATTTAACCGACTCTTAGGATTCTAGTAATATAGAAGACTCTTAGCACAACTTTAACCTGCTAGAAGGTATAGAAGACGACTATAACCGAGTCTAAGGTAATAGCCGTATATCTAATAAGTTTGCCTTGCTTATTATACGGCACTTCGAGGCTAATTCTAGCTATTATATAGAGGGTCGCATAAGAGATATAACAAAGCGCTATTAGAAGTAGTATAACGACAACCGGCTAGCTAGACAACGTACTATTAAAGGTATAGATAGCCTTATTTGTAGGTAGATTGCAAAGCGTGTTCTCGAGTATAGAGCCCTTCTTACTGCTTCCGGTACAGTAGCTAAAGACTCCGAGTTTAAACAGATACTTAATTGCTTTAAGGATACTATATTATTAAATAACAAGAAGCTCCGCGATAAGCTGCTTACTACTAAGGAGTTGCGTAGTTATAAGACTCTAGCTTAGCAGGTCTAAGATAATATACTCCGTATTATATCTTAACGGCTTTAAGATCCGCCTCCTATTACGGGTCCTTCGATACCGAGTCTACCGGTTGTTCTATCGCTATCGATACTATTAAATTCTCCTTCTCCTTCTAATATTACAATATATACGACTCGGCGGCGGTTAGATATCGACAGCGAGAGACAGCTAAGTAAAGAGAGGTCGTTAAGTCGAGTACTAGAGCTATTTCGACTCTCGAGAGGCAATTACTGTACTAGCAAAGCGACTAAGGGTTGAATCTTCCGATAAGGTAGGCCGCTATTTAATACGCTATATAGACGATATAGACAACCGCTCTAAGAAGCGTATAAAGCTAATATACGCCTCTACGGTACGTTAATTTAATAAGCTAAGAGCTCTTCTTATTAGACGGGTTAGACACGCGTCTCTTATTCCTTCGTAGTTGTCGTAGGTTACCGAATTTAGTATAGACTTAGACGATAGCGGCCCCGTTGCTAACGTTCTTACGCTAATAGGATATAGTAACGACGGCTACGATAGCGATAGAACTGTCTCGTAGGTATTGGAAGTATTAGACTTTAGAGATTAATAGCCGTTAGTACGTAGATATTCGTATAATTAAGATATTAGACTTAAGCGAGGCGGATTAAATCGGATGTAATATATATAGTATTCCGAGTGCTTATTAGTTCCTAAATTAGTAAGAAACATAGTAGAGATACGAATTCCTTAGTATAGTTGCTACTACCTTCGATACTATTAGTTATAATACCGGTTACTAAGATTGAATTTCGAGTACCTTTAGAAATTTATATACCCCCGCTTAATCTCTGCCTATATCTATTACTAAGATAATTAGAAGCAACAGACATTACTATAACTATAGTGAAACGGCCCTCCGAAGCTCCTCCGTATCTAATCCGAGGAGCAATAGAGAGAATATAGAGGGCGAGCTATAATAACTGAAATACTAACCCATCGCTATTCTTTACTATTCCTTATTACTATTATTAATAACTATATCTCCTATATCTTCTATATTACCTCTAACCTCTAATCTATTGCCCGAAGGGTTTATACGTATTAGATCCGGTACCTCCGCGTCTACTAGCGGCATAGGTAGTAATTCAAACTTAGTACCTAGGTAATCCCTAATGTCCGGACAGCTTAAACCGTAGTGCGTAGCGACCTTGTTTCTACGATAATAAGACAGGCAATTAGTAAGCAATACTGCTACGAGATAGCAGGATCCTATCGGTATTAAACTAGTACGTAACCCTTTCTTATACTCGAAGAATAGCTAGTTATTAGTTACCTCGCTAAACCCCTATTCTACCGACTATCGTAGAGCCGACTATTCCTTCGCAACCTGCGCCTATATAGGGTTACGATAGCCGCCTCTCTTCGATTTCTACGATCCGATAATACTATCGACCTATCTATATACTAAGTTACTAAAAAGAAAGAGCTTGTCCTCGAGAGGGTCGTTATCGAACAAATTATACTATATCTAGTTAATATTAGACTCGCGTACGAGTCGACTATTACTATAAGAGCCTAGATATAGACTATTAATAAGCAGTATGCTATCTAGTAGCTATATACCCTAGAATTTAAGGCTATAGAAGTGCTTATAGCCGTTATAGAACACCCTCTAGTTACGACTTAGTCTCGTAATCTTCCTTATAGTACTATTAATATATCCGAAGACGCTAGATACTCTAACTAATAGATATAGCGACTAAGCTAGGCTCCGGAGATATTGCTTACTAAGCCGCCTCTTATTAAAGAATAAGAAGGACTTCTACCTTAGCGCTAGGCTATATATAACTATATTAAATATATAACTTAATCGTAGCCGAATAGCTAAACTTCTCGTCTATATCCTTCTAAAAGCTAGGACTAGATAACCGCTTATAGACAATATAAAGCACCGTTATAGGTAGCAATTTAAGTCTAACTAGTAATACGATTAAACTAATATCTAGTAGGTCTACTAACTCTACTAATTAAGGCCTTATAAAGCGGAAGTTACCCTTAATATTAGCCTCCGGATAACTATCGAGGTCGAAGCGATCCTTCTTATAGATTCTCGCTAGTTTAAATAGTCGGTTACGCCTTAACTAGCGGTACTAGTATTTATATACAGATTTACCTTCTCGCTATACCTACCGCTTATTGTTACTACTATCTTCCTCGAGGTACTTACTCGTAATAGCGACGGTTATTATAGTAGTTATAGTAACTATAGTAGCTTCTTCTATAGCGTATATAGGTTAGGTCTATAGGTTAGGTCTATAGGTTAGGTCTATAGCTAAAGTCTATACCCTAGAAGGTCTAGAACAGGGGCTCCTTACTACACTAGGCCGCTTTCGATCATATACAACTAGCCTCTTCTGAAGGTCCGTAAAAAGCGCCACATTAATCCTTCATATAACGGTCACCAGCTAGCGCTTATTTGGAGGCCGGCGAAACTTCTGAAGGTCCCTCTTACATACGCTATGTTCAAGTACGTGCGGTTCATGCGGCAGCCTGCAGAAACCACGCACAGCGCACAGCGGCACGGCATCTCCGCCTGGTTTGAGATCTTGCTGCCGCGGTGACAAGATGTTGCCATCGATCTCCCAGTCAAGCAAGACAGCTCTGACGCAGCGTCAAGACGACCATGGACGACGGCGACAAAGAACGGCAACATCTTCCCCACGTCGACTCTGACGCCGTTTCAACCTATGCATCCAACGAGAACAGGCACGATGCCGCCAAGGATAACATGGACATGTACCGCCTGGGGAAGAAACCCGAGTTCGATCGCGATTACCAGCTGCTCAGCATTACTGCATTCACGACCGTGGCTATGGTGGTGAGTTAGCAAACGGCGCAATGCCTCAAGAATCATACTTCATGTTCTCATCGAAGCTGCAAGGGCTGGATATTCGTCCCGAACGGCACCACATCCGCACTGGTAGATGGCAATACAGGAGGCACCATCACCATGTATCTGCTGAATTTTGCCGCTTTCACCGCCATTACTCTGAGCTTGGCCGAGATGGCAAGCATGGCACCGACTGCCGGCGGCCAGTACCATGTGCGTATCCAGGAATACCTGTCCTCCGGGAGAAGTCCTCGCTAACATGTGCTCTAGTGGGCGAGCGAGTTTGCACCCCCGTCTCTGCAAAAGATCCTCAGCTACATCAGTGGCTGGCTTTCGACTTTGGCTTGGTGCTGCGGCACAATCTCCGGAATCTTTCTGGTCGGAAACCTCATTCAGGGCATCATTATCGAGTTGCATCCGGCCTACACGCCAGAACCCTGGAGAGCCTACTTGTACACTTTTGCCCTCATCAGCCTCATCTTTGTCGTAAACGTGTTCTTGAGTCGGAAACTGCCCAAACTCGAAGGCTTTGTGTTCGTACTCATGATAACTGGGTATGCGTCGAGCATTATCGTTCTATGGGTTCTGTCGTCCAAAGACAGGCTGACGACCAAGCAAGTCTTTACGACTTTCGATCAGCAGGGAGGCTGGGGAAATGTTGGTCTTGCGATGCTGGCAGGCCAGATCCTGCTGGTATGGGGTCTGACAGGAAGCGACGCAGCCGCGCACATGGCCGAAGAAACACGCTTTGCGTCATCCGTTATCCCTCGTGCAATGGTCTGGAGCTACATTGTGAACGGACTCATGGTGTTCCTCATGCTCATCACTTACTGCTTCTGCCTTACCAATCTGGACGAAGCCTTCAGCTCTCCAACGGGCTTCCCCTTCATCGCCGTGTTCGAGCACGCAACCGGTTCGCGGGGCGGCGCGGTTGGTTTGACCTGCATACAGATCATCTTGATCATGTTCAGCGCCATAAACTACATGGCATCATGCTCTCGGCAAGTGTGGGCTTTTGCCAGAGATCATGGCCTTCCCTTCCACAGATGGATCGCCAAGGTGGATCGAGATACGAACTGCCCTACCCGAGCTGTCATCGTAGTGTACGTCTTTGGCGTTCTCATCTGCCTCATCTCTCTGGGCAGCTCCATCGGCTTCAATGCCATAACTTCTGTGCAGCTCTTGGGCATGTTTGGGACGTACATGCTTTCGATAGGCTGTCTGGTCTGGCGTCGACTGTTTGGGGCGCCTCTGCCGCGAGGCGCGTGGTCGCTAGGTCGATTTGGCATGGCTATCAACGTTTCTGCGCTGGTCTATGGTGCATTCCTGATTGTGTTCATACCGTTTCCCGTCACTACGCCCGTCTCGGCGTCGACTTTGAACTGGTCGCCAGTAATATTCGGAGGCACGGTACTGATGGCGCTGGTGTATTACCTCATTAGAGGTCGAAAAGTCTACGATGGGCCAGCGGCATACGTGCATACTTCATACTAGATAGAGGATGATGAAGTTGAGATGACCAATATTGCAGCATTCTAAGACGAGTCTTTCATCGAAGGCTCAACCAGTAGCTGCACTTTGGGTAGCAGTGCTCTCGCTTTCGGTGTTCCCATTGAGAGTGAGCTTTTCGACATCCACGGCAAGTGGATCTGATTCGTCGGTTGCGTCTTTTGGTCCTTCGTATCCAGGCGGTGGAAGAGCCCACTCAGGGAGAGAAGTCTCGTAGTTCCAGTTTCCTTCGGCACACTCGTATTTCCTGGCGTGTAGATAGATGCCTAGCTCGTGCGATCCCGGGTCACTGTAGAGCGGTGTTTGACAGATATCGCAAAGCTGACCAGTCATCTTCTCGGCCTTTTTGCGATTATATTCATCGACCATCTCATCATGATATGCAACGGCTTCGGCAACTTCAGTCTTGCCCATACGTGATAGTCTGGTCATGATATCCTCGTCGTTGTCTCCGCTGCTAGAGCCTTTGCCGAGATCGAGCCCGAAGACTCTCTGGTTGCAGTATATCGGATCGTTCGATATGGGATGTCCTAGAAATTGCAGATGCACACGTAGCTGATGTGTGCGTCCTGTAAGCGGTCGACATCTGACAATGCTGTATCCTTCCTTTGGCTGTCCGTTGGCATCGACTCCTGGTTCTCGCGGAGGGTAGTAGGCAAGACGCTTGAATACTGTCCGTGCTTCCTTCCCGTTTGCCCGGACTCTGTTCAGACCAAGCTTGGGCGATATTTGTAGAATGGGCTGCTCGCAGATGATATCGCCATCGGGGAATCGCCCCTTCACTCTAGCGACGTACTCTTTGCGAATTGTCCTGCCCATTAGTTGCTCTGTTATACTAACCGCTGTCTGCTTGTCTTTGGCAATGAACATGACGCCGCTAGTGAGACGATCAAGCCTGTTGCATGGAAGCGGATTGAATTGGTGACCTCGCTCCGCCCGCATAATTTCCACCACTGAATTGTAGTTGTATCGTCCTGCAGGATGCACCGGCACCCCTGCAGGCTTGTTGATGATTATGAGACCTTCATCTTCATGCACCACACCCACCGGCTGGCCAGTGACTGGGGGCTCATGCCTGTGCATTGTGTGACTAATGACATCGCCATTCTTGACAGGTGTGTCTACCGATGGAACCGTCTTGCCGTTGATCTGTACTGCGCCCGACTCTATCGCGCTCCTCTGTTGCTATCAGTCAGACATGAGCCCATCTCTTGCGCGCAGTATCATTGCCCACATACATAGTACTCAACCGGCCTGTCACGAAACTCTTCAGAGAAGATCTCGAGCAGGCCACGTCCTCTCCATCGCTCTTTGCAGAAGGTATTGTATGTGAAATGATATGGCGCAACTCGTCTCAACCCGTCTTCGAGATAATATGGTCGCGGCCATGGATCGCAAGGCGTAATGACGACTTTCGGCGGCGGCTCGAAAATCTCAGGTTCTTCCTTTGGTTCCTCAACAGCCACCACAGCCATACTGGCGGCGGATATTCGGCCCTTGCGGATGAGATATTCGATGATTCGCGGCGATGGGTGGAACAGCACTGCTGACAGCCTCATAGGCCTGCTATGGATGGGGAGGGAAATGTTCGTGTGCGATTGTCTCCTGGCAGAGGAAAATATCAAGGTTGTTTTCAAGCTTCATCGATAGGCGTTGCCTTCTGCATCGACGTAGTCTATCGATGTGCCTGCTCCATGCATTTGCGGAACCAAAGCCCTTGTGTTCCGAGTGAAATGTTTTCCGCGATACATCAGCATGGTGCAATCTCCCATATATACCATCACCTAGACTTCGATCCGACCTGAGACCTAAGAAGATAATGTTTGCTAGCATCGAACGAACACAAGAATCACCCATCTTGTACCAGGAACAGCCTAGACCTTAAGACCTAGCACAATTCGTGAGAACCAAAATCCTCAATTGCCACCTGAGAGTACCGTATCCAAGCACAGAATGCCCATCCAAGTATTTCCGATCGCAGAAAAGGACATCCCAGGCGCGGTGAAATGCATCCAAGATGCCTTCGCAGCAGATCCATACAACAATTGGGTCTTCCATCCTATTGAAAAGTTCAACAAGAAGCGAAACACCGTCAGCCTCTCGATCCGCTGCCGATGGGGCATGAAACACGCTCTCTTCCACGTAGCCAAAGACACCGAAGATGCCTCGGAAAAAGTGTTAGGAGTAGCATGCTGGCTTCCTCCTAAGAAAGCAAAATCTCCTCAGACGTGGGAAAGCTATTTCGGAGACTGGTGGTTGTGGTTCGAACAAGTCAAGGTAATATCTCAACGATCAATTGTCACCCGATTCCTACCTACCTCGTGCTGACCAATCTACCCGCAGATGAATCTTTGGCACGGTCGTGGCGGGCTAGACGTCAAACGCTACTGGATCTGGAAAGCTGCACAGGCCAAAGCACAAGCTCAACTCTGGAATGATGAGAACGGGTACTACTTCTGTAATATCGTCACAGTGGTACCAGAAGCACAAGGGAAGGGGATTGGCAAGCTGCTGTTCAAACATGTTACGGATCAGGCTGATCGTGAGGGACGGAAGTGCTACTTGGAGAGCAGTAGAGCCGAGCCGAATATGGCGATCTATAAGAGTATGGGATTTGAGCTCGCCAAGGAGATGGTTTGTGATGATGATGGCGATGCGATTACGCTGTACTGCATGATGAGGGAGCCGAAGGGACCGTGATCGGAAAGTTGGATCGAAGACTGGTAAGTGGGCGTCTATCATGATGTGAGTTCTGTCTATGTCGTGTATCTGAAGTGCGGGTTCTGTAAGTCCGTCATGTTATTCTCGCCCATCTCTCGTCCAATTCTCTCCTGCTCTTCTTTGCTAAGACCACTTGCTGCTGCCGCCCTATCTCGCTTCTTATTTTGCCAGATGTAGTAGAATCGCCAGCTGCAGATCAAGACAAACTCCAGTCCGAGGCACACGCAAGCACCACTAGTCCCGGGAACATAGCGAGGCGCATCTTTGCTCTTGAAGATTTGAGATCCTGCCATGTTCCCCACACAATACCCAACGAAGGTCGCCGAGCTGATGATGGTCTTCTTAGTCCTGCCAGCGACATTACTAGGAATGAGTGTCCAAGCCAAGAACAGCGCAAGCACATATGGCACTGTGATGAAGTACATTCCCCACTTGGTCCATTTGTTCCCAGGCGTATCGTCCAGCATAGACATAGCGAGAAGTCCCACGAATGGCGGAATGCATGCGGCTGCCATGATGAACATTCTTCTCTCCGGCACTGCTCTAGTGTAAAAGCCAACGATGATGAAGATGACGACGGACGTGACGGAGCGAGGAATCTCAACCAGCAGAACTTGTAGCTCTGTGAAGCCGAAGTTTTTCATGATGATGGCGCTGAAGGTCGTGAGGCCACCATTCGGCACGGAGGACAGGAAGGCGTTAATCATGCAGAACCAAAGCTGTGGATCACGGAATGCTTCGGCGACTTGTGGCCAGCACCACTTCACACCAGTTACGTCTCGGCCAGCCTTGTTGGAAAGGATTCGAGATTGTCTGTTTCCACAGTCATCAACTAATGTTCAGGATTTAGAAATGGGTGACTTACGCCATCCTTCGCTCTTCGGCATTCAACCACCTGACCTCCTTTGGGCTTCCAAGCATGACGAAGCAGATCAGAGACAGCACCACGGTTGTGGCACCCAAGAACAGCGAGATGCATCGCCAGGCAGCCAGACCGCCGTATTTCTCTGCGTGAGAACCGATTCCGTACATGGAAAGGTTGCCGATGATGCCAAATCCTGCGTTGGCTGACTGGAAGAAAAGCGATCTTGATGAGTGCTCGTCTCTGGTATACCAAGACCCAATGACCAATACGAATCCAGGGCTTATGGTGCACTCGAAGAATCCTTGCAATGCTCGAAGGACCATAAGATGGGTCCAGTTCTGAGCAGCGCCGATGCAAGTGACACAGACCCCTGCCCCCGTCAGCAAGTTTCGCCATTGCCGAATATACGGGTATTACCCCAGGCGAACATGTAAATAGACAACGCCTTGCCCAGGCTCCATCGCTGGAGCAAGAAGTTGGATGGGAATTCTCCACACATGTACGCGATATAGAAGATAGTCGTCAACCAACTGTATTGTTGTCCAACGAGGCCAGTATCCTCACGCAGACCAAAGATTGCCTGCGTACCGAGGGAGGTCTTGTCTGTCTGCTGAACGCCATAGCAGAACCACATCAATGGCAGGAGGAAACGATCGATCTTCCGGAGGATCTTTTTGTACTCGGCCGGGGTGTAATCCGCTTCGTTGATGACCTCGACTTCCCCATCACGTTTTGAAGGTACGATTTCCAAGTCTGTTGTCTCTGGGGTCTTGTTCTCATCGACTGGGGCATCGAGGGAATTGGTGGACTTGGTGTGCTCCAAGGGTGAAACGACATCATGATTGGTCGTCATGTTGAAGAAGGGCAGGTTGGAGGGGAGGTTGTAGAGCGCAGTAAGCAACGCGATGCTGTCTTTTCGAGGTGTTAAGGTATTTCCATCACCATGTCGTTCGTACCACAGGCCCTACACATCTTGCTATGCCCAGACATGGAGATAGGCGGGCAAAGCAGAGGCGAGATGCCAAGATGATAGTTCCAGCGCTTATCAGCAGCAACGGCACAATGCTCGTCGTTATAGCGTACGACCCCACAGGCGTAGCGCTTTTGCCACGTTACGGGAGGAGTGGTGTTGCATCTGGATGAATGTAAGGTGTTTCGCAGATAAGGTAGGATGTGGAAGAAGGTGCCGGTCCGGTCAGGTTCTGGGCGTGTGGTGCATGCAGGCAGATAGGCCAAAACGCAGCGGAGAGTGGGCAAGACGGGTTTGAGCAATTGTTCTCGCTATACAGCCTCAATATGTTGTTGATGTCCGGTTCGTGCCGCCTGCGCGTTCGGAGGTGGGGTATCTGATCAGGAAATGACTCGGGAAGGTGCATGGCGTCAAGCCGAGAACCGAGTTCAAGGTCGCACGTGGCGTGACGCAACGCACATAGAATACAGTATGGTCCATGCACAGCCTCTCTCCATCGCAGCTGAAGCTGCAGAGTGCATTGCTAACCCATTGCACTTCGTACACTCTTCCCTTCATAAAGCGCCCACCACCCACAGCCCGAGATTTGACGACAGTACAGCTTCCCTGGACCACACACTCAATCCCATACCAGCCAAACGAACGTCAACACATCATGGGTGTAAGTCGATGTGGAAGCGAAAGCCCCACTGCCCCGCCGACGTCACTTCTTTTCAGCTTCGCTGCGCATGAATGGCCGTTGTACGAGTCGCGACGAGAAACTGACCTTATTGTGGTGGGAATAGCTCGCATCGAAGCTCGCTGCTGCTCAAGGCGGCGCACAAGCAGTCGCCAATTTTTCGCAGCAACCGGGAGCTCCAGGCGGTGCCTACGTAAGTTGATATCCGCGCATGACACGCGTTCCAATTGCTTGCTCACTCATGATGCACAGCCCGGTCAGGCGCCACCAACCCAAGGCCAGCAATATCAAGCCTACCCGGGCGGCCAGAGACCTCCACAAGTAAGTCTTTGTTTGATCTTGTCCCTCTGCCCCTGCCCCTACACATCTCTACAACCCCATCAATCCGACCACGCGACATGCCGTTGGCTTCACGCCTTGCGGCAGGAGGCGCACCTCCACCCTTATTGCAGCCCGGTTATCCTCAACAGCAAGCGCCTGCTTATCCACCTCAACCACCCCCTCCACAACAACCATATCAATCGCAACCTCCTTATGGCTCGCCAGCACCGCAGCAAGCATACTCGCGGCCTCCGCCTCCACCACCGAATAGGCCGAATGCTGGCAGTCCGTATCCCGGCGCGTCTGCGCCTTATGGAGCGCCGAGTCCTCAGCCGCCTTATGGCCAACCAAGTCCATACCAGCAAGGCCCGCAGCGAGGCTATGGTGGCTACGTTCGTGATCGCGTGTCGCAAATGACCTCCTTCGTGTTCATTGACTAACGAACCTCTGAACAGGGCGGACCTCCACCAGGACCACCTCTACCAGCCGGCCAATATGGTCAGTCACAGCAACAGCAGGGCTACGGCCCGCCAGGCGGCGCTCCACCGATGAGCCAGAGCGGACCAGCAGACGTGCAAGGTTATCAGAGAGAGCTTGAGAGAGCCATTCAAGAGAAGGGGTTGCATCGCTTCTATGGCCCGGGTACTCCGGGTGCTCAGAAGCTTCCAATGATTGCTCAGCGCGCGGCGCAATGCGTCGACCGTCTCTGCCAAGCATGGCGCATTCAGAGGGAGATTGCGAATGATATTGTCAGACTCGCGCTCTACGACGTTGTCATCTATGTCGACGACAGTGGATCCATGTCCTTTGAAGAGAACGGCGAGCGTATCAAGGACTTGCAGCTTATTCTGCAGCGAGTAGCTTTCGCAGCCACTCTTTTCGACGATGACGGAGTCGACATCCGCTTCATGAACGAGGATTTGCCCATCCAAGACATTTCACACATCAGAAGCGAGCAGCAGATCGAGCAGTTGTTGGCACACAAGCGCTACAAGGGTCTCACTCCATTCGGAACGGAGCTTCGCAAGAAGATCGTTGATCCAATTTTGGTGCAAAGATTGAACAGCGGCCAGATGCAGAAGCCAATTTTGATCATCAGCATTACGGACGGTCAGCCAGCTGGCGAGAATCAGAACACACTCATTGAAACGGTGCAGTACGCCTGCCAGGCTGCTCAGCGGTCGCCGTACGGAAAAGGAGCTGTTGCATTCCAGTTTGCTCAAGTCGGCAATGACCAGAAAGCCACCGAGTTCCTCGCTAAGCTCGATAACGATCCAATGGTTGGTGGGGAAGTGGATTGCACATCGAACTACGAAAATGAGTCGGCGGAGATGGCGAGAGCTAATCCTCCTGTCGATCTGACGCCTGATCTCTGGATGATCAAGTTGATTCTCGGTGCCATTGACCCAAGCTACGACACCAAGGACGAGAAGACACATATGGCTCCTGGTGCTCAAGGAGGATATGGCCAGCCACCTCAGCAATACGGCCAGCAAGGTGGCTATGGCGGGCCTCCTCCTCAGCAGGGCGGTTATGGAGCTCCTCCGCCAGGCCAGCAAGGTGGTTATGGTGCTCCTCCTCCCCCCCAACAGTATGGCCAGCAGCAAGGAGGATATCCAGGTCAGCAGCAACAAGGCGGCTATCGCCCACCACCGCCTCCTGGCCAGCAAGGTGGCTACCCAGGTCAGCAGCAATATGGAGGTGAGTTATCGAGAGATATAAATCACAAATAGACCCAGCTAACGGTACTCAGGTCCACCACAACCACCTCGATACTAGTCATGGTGAGGTAGTGCCGAGTCTGGTGCATGGCCGACACCATTAAGGAACAAGAAGGCAGCGGCTGCCATGAAACCGACCAACACATGACCATCTGCAAATGAGCAAACCTCAGCGAGAAATATGTGTTAGTAGCAGCATCAAGACTACTGGGTGTAGGATACCTCTAGGAATCAAAAAGCCGGATTGATCTCAGTGAAGAAGGCCGCATTTCCACTTATATACCAGCTTGAGCTATATGGGACAGTGGTAACTCGCAGTGCCGGATTATTATTACTTCTACGCGCCTTCTCCTTCACATGCATTACCTCGATCCGACTAGTCTCATACACTAGCCTGACCGGCAGACTTGTAGAGTTTTTGCGTGTCGTGAGATGGCACAAGGCGTCGTGGTCACCAACAAGGACAACCCATCTCGCTGACAGAAGTCTTTCGTTCATTGAATTCGACCGTCTCGCTCTACTGCGCCATTCCATTAGCGTCGTCATGTTATACACCAATGATCGGCATTTTTTGACTCATCTTCCTTGTACCCAGCGTGATGAGCCTTAAAACCTTAACATACTGTCGGGTGTCTGACATGGGTTTGTAGAAGCCGGAGATCCCGCTGTTTGGAACGAATTGGGGATTTTCGGTGTCGATGGGGCCGTGAGCTAGCTGATAAGGGAACTACGTTTATGGGCTGTTGTGTTGGGATTGGAACGGGAAATTTTTCGATGGCAGGGTTTGGCGGTGGTGGTGATGTTGTTGTGGGTGGCGGACGCGTGGGAGGAACGATGTTGTCGCGCGAGACAAGGTTGATGCCCAGGAAAGACCCCCTATGATGAAGAATACGAACATGTACAGTGTATTGCTCTTGCAGAATCTGTACATGCAATCAATCATCTACTCTTCTTCTTCTTCTTCTTAGCCGACTCTGCCCTCCGGCGCAACCCATGCTGATACCTTTCCCAGCCTGCGTCTTCCAGACTCTCACTGCACACGAGATCGCGCATACGTAGCCACTTCATAGGTGGTAGCTCTAAGAGTTTGTCGACCAACCCCCATTGCCTGGCTATGCTAGTAACAATGAACCAAGCGACGGCGCAAGCCACGCCAGCCGCGCATCCAACATAGACCTGTTTCGGGCTGTGGTAGTTGAGATAGATTCTGCTTTGCGCGACAGCTCCTGCACATACGATCGAAAGGATCGCAAGGCCCAGTCGCTGCCAAAAGGGAGTTGGCAAGTGTGTGGTGGATGCATTTGGATGGTTGACAGGATCATGTCTGAAGAGCAGGAACAAGGACAAGTAGACGGAGAAGAAGGCAGCATATTGTGCATGCGATGAAGGCATGCCGTAGCCTTTACCTAGCATTTCTACATAACACATCAGTCTATTACCCCGAACAGAACACTGCGCGTTTTTTTTCTCTATCCACCTACGTGTCGGCCTCTCTTCTCTGATATATCTTTTCAATATCCAATTCAACGCCTCACATCCCATCTGGCCCGTGAACATCAATAGAATCTCGATTTCTCGTGTCGCCCATATCAGCGAAACGTAGGAGATGACCAATGCTTGCGGCACGAGAGCCAGATGCGCCGAGATCCATGATATGGGGTCTTCTGGATTATAGCTGACGTGCGTCAAGGAGAGGGATCTGAGCGGCGGTGGCGGCGCGTCCATGGTGAGTCAATGGGACTATGAATAGTGGTTGGATGTTCAGCAGAGGGTCGTTCAGGAACGCTGCCAAGTGAGCGCTCGCAGCAGTTCGCGGACCTGAGCGGTGATTAGGTTTCGAGTCTAGCCTCTTTGAGCATTAGATCCAGTCGCGGTGACCCTGTCAATCTTCGCGGTCGTCGCTGTTCTTTCATCGCCACACCGAACACAACTCTGCGCCAGACTGACACATTTTCAGCTCGATCTAATACGAGGGCTGCGCAGAACCTGCTAGAGTGCAGGTCAGATACTTCCAGATGCTGCCTTCATAGCATCGGCTTTCAGGTCCGCGAACGGCATGCGACCTGTACTCCATAAAACATTGGTATCATCCGACCTCTCCGCTGCATGGGAGAGCTATGGATACTTCAGAGGACGAACGTGCGGAGGAGATCGATGCACTCACCGCCATATTTCCCGAGCTTGACCTTGACGCGAACGACCGGTTTGCAGCGACTCTCGAATTGCCAGTAGCTCCAGCAGAACCGCTCCTTGTACGCTTTATTCCCACTCACCATTCGAACGATGCTTCTGGCTCGTACGCACTTGCCGTGAGTAACGCCAACGCGAACGCACACGTGGAGCACGATGTGCGATTGTCGTATTTGCCTCCGCTCAGATTGCATGTGAAGCTGCCATCCAGTTATCCTGCGAATGCGCCGCTCGAGGTGGAGCTAGGAACCGATTTGGACTGGTTACCCAAAGACAAGATCGAAGAATTGAAAGCAGAAGCAGCGAAGCTATGGGAAGAGTACGGCCAATGTCAAATCCTCTACACCTTCATCGATCACTTGCAGCAGGCGGCTGAGCGAGGATTCGATCTTGACCAGAGCTCGGAAGGGCTGCTTGTCCTGTCAGACACACTCGAGCCTACGCTTGTTGAGTTTGGCAGGCGCAAAAAGCGAGAGATCTTCGAAGCCGGACATTATGACTGCGGTATCTGTCTAGAGCCAAAGACGGGAAAGGCTTGCCATGAGATGGACGAGTGTGGGCACATATTCTGTAAAGAGTGCTTGCAGGATACATACAATAATGCTATTACCGAAGGCAACGTTGCTGCTGTCCGATGTCTTGATCCCAGCTGTGGCAAAGCGACAGGCCGCAAGACCAAGAAACAGAGCCCAATACATCCTAGAGAGCTTCTCGCGACTGGTGTGGAGGAAGCCATGGTGCGCCGATACGTGGATATGAAGCGCAAAAAACTGATCGAGGCCGACAAGAATACAGTCTATTGCCCCCGACATTGGTGTCAAGCACCTGCGAAGTCAGACAAGTATCCAACCATTCCTGCCGATCTGACTGCGTACGTCTTCAACGATCCTGATGATGATGGTCAAGATGGAGTAGTGTCCAGCACCCCGAGCGATACCAAGAACGTCGACAAGGCACCTCCAGATCCTTCAGATCGTCTTGCAATTTGCGAGCAGTGTTCGTTTGCCTTCTGTAAGGTGTGCTACAAGGGCTGGCATGGACAATTCGCCCGATGCTACCCTCGTGATCCTAACGAGCTCAGTGCTGAAGAGAAGGCAAGCTACGAGTACATTCAAGCGAACACTTCTCCATGCGCACATTGCAACGCACCAGTACAAAAGACTATGGGGTGCAACCACATGAATTGCTTCAATTGTAGAACGCATTTCTGCTATCTCTGTGGATCTTGGTTGGACCCGAATGATCCATACAAGCACTTCAACACACCTGGCAAACCTTGCTACCAACGCTTGTGGGAACTGGAAGAAGGCGACGAGGGACAGGGACCAGAAGATGGAAGAGGTTTCGGTGGTGGTCGCGGCTGGGAACAGCTAGCGATCGAAGCTGCGCGAAATGCTGAGGAAGCTGAAGCTGAGGAAGCCGCCAGAGGCGCTCAGGCGGAAGAAAATGCAGGTGCTGCGCAAGGTAGGCATGAACCGCCACCCGCTCCAAACCAACCCATGCCAATCATTGCACAGATGGACGGCCTAGGCCTCGATCATGATCGTAGAAACATCGATCCTGGCATTGCAGGAGAAAATGAGCCACCGCCCGCGCCAGTTGCTCTCGCTCCCCGTCGAGGTGGCCGCAGACAGCGTAATTTCTTCCCAGCAAGACCGCCTGCGAATGGAGTAGCAGCAGCGGTGCGGAACCACGAGCGTGCAGGGCGACGACAACGACGGCCGGCTGCCAACGCCGGCGACGGCAGACACGATATGAATGATCGCCAGCAAGAAGAGCTGCAACGATTTCTCGAACTAGCGAGGAACGATGAGGAAGACGGTTGGGACAGCGACGAGCTTGGAGACGACGAAGAATTTGTCATTAGAGACAGGCGATGACCCTTGATGTTTTTTTGTACAAAAAGATAGATACCCATTCATGCGGCATAAGTATGCCGCAGCCTCAAGGAAGGCGTACAAGTACGACATTTTCGGCACATCTGCCGTCTTGTGACGGACACGCGCAAGTGGCAATACCTGAGCATCCAATGCATTTTTTTCTGTGTTGCGTACTGGCGTGAACCTTTACGCCGTGCAAGTCGACAGCCGTTAGTGGTATCACCGAACCAGACCAAATGTTGGTTGGCAATCATTCTTATTGCTACCAAGCTTGCACAACTCATGCCGCCGCCGTGCATAGTCCTTGACTAGCGGTACAACGCCAAAGATCGAATGAAAAATGAGAAACATGTGCAAGGTTGGACGTGTACACTGACTAGATAAGTGAGACCTCGTTGACGTGACCAGGAGACATTGGCTAGTGGCACGGCTCGAACAGCCAAACAAAACCTGTGTCATGAATCGTGCTACATCATACTTTCTTGGGTATCTCATTCTCACCGAATCTTCTTGCTGCTGACCGCACAAGGCGTGTTGCTTTGGCTACCTGTGGTCAAGAGTGGGTTCTTGTGCGCGGATGAAACTGCGACAACTGATGAGGAACCAAATGCTTTGCGACCACCAGGTGTGAATTCATCGCCGCCACCGTCGCCTTCGATGAGCAAAGGATCACGACAGAATATTCCGAGGAATTTGTCGACGGTCTCTCGCAAGGCTTCAGTGTGTGCAGCCAAAGACTTGGTCGCGATGTGTTGGCGGAGAGCAAAGCAAGTGCCTTTGTACACTTGATGATAAACGAGTTTGTACTCTTCATCTTTCTGGCGCTCTGCATCCAGATCCTCGAAATTGGTGTCGATAGCTGGTGACGCGGCGGCTGAATTGGCTCGAGACTTGCGAGTTCTGCTTTGCACGAGCCCGTAGAGACGCATACCGGCCATGACGATCTTGGAAACGAATTCTTTGTTCTTTTGCTCGATCGTCGGCTCTTCCTCAGTAATCGTGCAACCACCAGCTGAATCAACACTTTGGACACGGCCGAGGGCTGACCGCTTTGAGATTGCGGGAACTGATGGCTCTCGCAGGTCTGCCACCCGAGACGACCCTACGCTCGACGCGCGCGACAATGGTCTGGTCTGAAGCGGTAGGCTTTGAGAATTGCTCGTCGATCGTCGATGTCGAAGTGCTACATCAGCTGGGTTACGAGAAGCAGCCGCGGCTGCTACCCCTTCGCCACCCCGTCTCCTGGCTTTGCTGCGTCGTTCAGCTGCTTCGTCAAAAGTCTCGTTCACGGTCTTTCTCTTCCGCACGGGTGGTAGATTGATAACCTCTCCTTCATGAGTAGCAAAGTTCCTCACGAGTGGAAGGAAGACTGCTCGAATTTCTTGGTCATTTGGCTGGGGCGAGGCAGGCGGAGTGGGCTCTGCAGCGGAACCATGTTGCAACAAGTCAGAGCATAGTGGTTGCGCATACACTCGTAGCGCTGGGCTGGTTGGGTGTGTGGACGTGCTCTGTAATGCAGATTCTGAGTCTCGCGATGCGTAGAGTAGCAATTCTGTCGCTCTAGCTTGGGCCGCAGAAGCAGAATCGATTGCTAGAAGGATCGATAGCGGCGACTCGGCGCAAGCACTTTGCCACCATGGAGCTGAGGCACCAGAACGATCAGCCTGCTCGTTCAGTAAAATGCTCGAGAGCCATTTCTCGCTGTCGTCGTTGGAAGTAACGACTTCAAGTGGAGATCCAATTGCCAGAATCAATGGTATTCGACTCGTCTCGACTATGGACAAAAACCGTAGTGTTGCATTTGCGGGAAGGTGTGAGCATGGTTGATCAGAGCAAAGTGAGATTGCTTGGGGGTGTTAGCGTTATATCGATCTGAACGTAGATGAGCTGGATACCTTCGATACCTTCGATACTCTTCCCATCACCAATAGCTACATCGCCGTGCCAAATGGAGGTCATGTCGAGTCTGTGGTCCGGGTCGAAGTCAGGCTTCGACGCGATACAAGCTGGGAGACGCGCGTGAATTTCTTGGCATGCGCGAAAGTAGCGCGTCGGGGATGAAAGGTCGGGACGTCCACGGTCCTTTGATTCACTTGCCATCATCGAAGAATGCTAAGCAGAGCCATCAGTCACACGCCCACGATCCCGGCGAGCATTGGACGTCTCAGGCGCGCCTTCTCGATCCAACAAGTACTACAAGAGAAGCCGCTTCCTCCGCGGATGGTGATTCCTGAGTCCGATATCGAGGAGTCTTTCCTGAAAGGCACCGGGCCAGGCGGACAGAAGATCAATAAGACCTCTTCAGCCGTGCAATTGAAGCATTTGCCCACCGGTATCGTGGTCAAGAACCAGGCTACTCGAAGTCGAGAGCAGAACCGCAAAAATGCCAGGCGTATTCTGGGCGAGAAACTGGAGGATATGGAGAAGGGACCGCTGAGTCGCACTGCACTAAAGGCCGAGAAAGAGAGGAGGAAAAAAGCAAGTGCGTCCAAGAAGGCGCGGAGGAAATATCGCAAGTTGGACGAGGCAAATGCTGCAAGCAAAAGCGAGGACGATGGCATAGAGGATGGTCTGGATGCGAGCTCAGACAGTACAAAAGACACTGTGAATGCTGCTTTGGATGCCTCCGAGCTGTCTGGTGAACGCAAGAGCTGAACAGGATGTTGTCAGGCTCCTACCACTGCACGCGCCCGTGACTGCCATTAGCTGGCAAACTGCTGCTTCGCCAATGTTTGCAAGCAAACTCCTGTCCTCCTGTCATTGAAGTGCAGCGATCAAGCCGACATAACAATTCCGATCAACAACACATACACAAGCCTCAACAAGAGACATCATGCCAACCGACTTCAGCGGGCTTCGCGCCCAAATTCTCGGTATCGACAAAGACCCTAAGCCTGTTCGCAAGGTCATGCTAACGAAGCACAGCAAATGCTAAGCTCCTGTTTGGAGCAAAACATTCGCAACGAACTGCCTCTACTCTGCCAACCTCCGACACGCACGCCACTCTTGTCGGCCAGCAGGGCCAGCAGGGCCAACCGGTCCAACAGCCAGTGTACACCAGCGACATCGACATTGTCATCTTCTCTGGTGGCGGCAAATTTACCGCGGCAATCATGGTTCGCATGACACCTGCCGTCGAAGGACCAGAATGCCCAACACCAGAAGCCTCCTTGCTGAAGCTTTTGAATGCGACTTGCGAGTTGCTGAATGCGTATATGCCCAAGGTACTGTTCCAATTACGACTCCGAGTGTGGCTGTGAAAAAACACAATGGCTAACAGCATTAGGTGGGATCACATCAGCGCAATATCCATGGCGGAGGAGTCTTCGATTACGACTTCATCTCCACGGAGCTCATCGAGGGGCAAACGAGATCCTCGTAGGAGGATAATGCAAGGAAGGAGATCAGCAGCGAACCACACGACATGACACCAGGAATATCTCAGCCTTGAGAATAGGAGGATAACGCAAGTAAGGAGATCAGCAGCGAACCACACGACATGACACCAGGAATATCTCAGCCTTGAGAATAGGAGGATAACGCAAGTAAGGAGATCAGCAGCGAACCACACGACATGACACCAGGAATATCTCAGCCTTGAGAATGGGAGGAACAATGCATTTCGACATCTGTGAGTAGCATTACTCACGATAAATAAAACAAATTTGCAATAGCAGGACTGCCTTCAAAGGCTATTTGCGTGTCCGCTGTAAAAGTGTCATCGTTGGAAATGAAGAATCCCAAACATCCACTGTCACCATGCTGCCTGCATCACTCTCGAGCGCGTAAACTCCCTTTCCACGACCAAGCTCGCTTCCGACGCTTCGAAATCCCCTACCACCGCATACCAGACCACCAATTTTCGCATTTCAGCTTCAATCAGGACTCCGATTGTCCGCCATTGACATTACTCGCTCGGCTCTGACTGCCACTATAAGTGAGACCCTCGCCCCAATCGAGCTTATTCTCATCGTCGTCATCCTTGTCCTGCTTCCATCCATTCTCTTGCGCGGCATCAACGTGCTGCTCGACTGGCTCTTCTCTGGCATCAGGGATTTCTTCAGGCTTGAAATGCCATTTCTGCACTGCTCGTATAATGTCAACCGCGAGCTGACCGTTCTTCTGTAAGGCTTGTTCCCAGTGCTTGGGCACTTCGTTGCCGGTAACAAGCATCCTCGCGACACACGACACAATCAATTGTCGCATGGGCGAATCGTTCTCGGTGTTGGAATAGATGTACTGAACTCGTCTGAGGCTCGGCCAGGTGTCGGTGTCGTGGTAGTAACGGCGGACGGCATCGAGCACTTCATGAATCAACCTCTTGATTTCCCACTTCTCTGCCATGAGGTAAACATCGAGCAAGGGCGAAAGATCGGATTCCTCCTTGGGAGCGGGCACACGTTCCGAGTACAGCCAGCCCACGAACAACTTGAAGGGTTCATCTTCCTCGTCTGGCAGTCCATATACGGTATTCTTCCTTCCGTTCTTATTGTAGAACACATTGCGAAAGAATCGAGATCGATGGCATAAGAGCTTCTCATGAAGAATCCTGTGGCAGTAAAGTCAGCGGCTGGATCAATTCCATGGATTCGACACTTCGCACCAATGTGTGTTCTCGGAACCAACGTAAATATCGACCATGTCTCTTGACAGGAGCTCATGGAGCGACCTCTCTCGAGGCTCTGAAGACGAGGCGGTTGACGACATCTTTGCGATCTCTGCAGGTTTTCCCAGGCCCGATATCAGTGCACCAAATTCTTCTTGCTGCAGATGGCTCTCGGGCTCACGACAGCTGATCGACGATGCAGCGCAACAATCGAGAAGCAGTCTGTAGAGGCTCGGGAGGTTTATGAAAGCTCTCGAAGTGGATCATTGTGGCTGCGAGCTGGAGGCTGGCCATCGTTACACGAATCCTGCTTGAAACAGGATTCTTGAAATCACAACGTCAGAGAGGGCAATGCGTACGCATCCCTGCAACAACCATGCGCTAATTGACTTTGGGCCCGCATATCTCCACGTGTGGCCCGATCTGCACAAGACAAGGGTCCACAGCGTTGTTAATGAACTTCGTCTCGAGAATCGAGAAATTATTCGTCGTACGTTTGAATGTACACTGGTCTGGCTGGATGTGTGATCCCTTCAATCGGCATGTTCATGTCGATACTGAGCTCCAATCCTCGTCCACGAAAGAGAAATCGTCCAGGTTAACAGGATAATTGGGATCCAGATACGTCCCAAACAGATCGTCCATACCTTCAAACAGCCCAGTCCAGTCAGCTTCGGTTGGCTGTTGGTTGGCAGCTGGAACGCTGCTGCTAGCAGAGCTTCCAATTGTGCCGTTTGCTTCGAGAGGCTGATCTGGCACAAGAGTGTGCGGTTTCCAAAAGCTTGCGGTACAAATGCCAGGGCTCTTTGGACCCTCCTCTGCAAACCTTGATACTCGAAAGACTGACAGATCAGTCGCCTTGTCCAGCTGGTCCAGGACCTTCTTCGATATGGTTGCGATAACATCTGCCGAGCTCCATGTCCTCCTCAGCCGATGCAGTATCTGGCAACACTGTCGAAAGTCCTGCCGGGCATCCTCCTGCTGGTGAATGAATTGTGCTTGCCTGATATGCTGGTAGGATACCGAGAGTGCCAGTGATATCGCATATGGAAGAAATGGCAAAGGCAGAAGAGACGGCATCAGCGGTGAGCTCATAATGCGGTTGATCTCCAGAGCGCCGAGCGACTGCCGGACGTATGATGACTTTGATCTTTGAACGTACTTCACGCCTCGAGACCGATGCGATAGCACAGCAACGACCAGGAAAAATAGATGCAAAGTCGCAAGAATGTTTTGATCAAGGTCCCAGCCTTTGCCGTGGTCTACAGCGTCTTCGAAGGTCGGGTAATCGTCTTCCCAGCCCGTGATATCCATCGGCACGCCGGGTCGATAGAAAGCAATTACCTTGTCTAGGGTACGACAGCAATGCAGCCAGACCTCGAATGCTGGAAAGCCAGACTCTCCCGGTTCAAATCCTGAAATTGCCATGTCAACATCACTCATCATTATTGGCCTGCCATAGATGACAGAGTTCATTCGATCAAGACTCCAAAGACACCAGAAGAGTCTCTTCGTCACAAGATCGTCAGTAGACTGGATTCCGGTATGTTGTCCAAGGTGCCATCCGAGAACTTGCGTGTAGTGCATAGCTTGGTTGAAGCACCTATAATATCAATGTTAGCTGGAGGCTGAGTGACCAAGAATTGGCTGTTGAAAAGCATTGCCATCTTTTCACCGACACCGAATCAGAGCTTTAAATCCCTTGGTGTGCTTACCATGTGGCTTCCTCGCCGCCTTCAGGACCTTCGGCGTGTAGCGACGCCAGTGCGAGAAGACGGATAAGAGTGATCTTCTCGAAACGTACTGGCACTCGCAGTGCCGCCATTACTGAAGCATGTAGCCTGCTGCAAAATTCGCGAGGCGGTAGTGTGTCGTCCGATTCGTTAAGGCGAAGATACTTTGCTGCGGATGGATCTTTCGCAGCGACCAAGCAGACAGCGTGAGCCAATGCTTCGGGAACGATTCCTCCAGCATGATTCGTCCTGAACTCGATTTCATCCAGGATCGGAAGGACGGGATGGACTTTTTGAAAGTAGATGTCAACCAGAGGAGCGAGTACTGCCGAGTGCGGACGCTGGTTATTCTGGCCGATTGCATCCATCGTGGCAGTTCTCGCGTTTCTCTGTCGGACGAGAGCATCGTACTCGCGTTTGTCGACCCATATGCCGATGTCCTCATTCTGCTGCCTCCCATCGTTCTCTGCAGTTGGCGGACGACGCTGTAGAAACGTCGATACCGGATTCAGATCACAGATAAATCGTCTCGCATTAGCAGCGGAAGCAGATTCCGAGCGGCGTGTTGATCCATTCACTCCAGAAGCGGCATTGCTGGGAGACGACTGGGCTCCATTGGACTTCGTATTCGGCCCAGTATTTGGGACTTCGCGGGTATCGACCTGATCTGCTCCATCGCTCTCGTCGTTCTTGCCTTTGTCGGCGGGATCACCAAAGTGTATGCAGCGTTTCTGTAGAATATCCGACTCAGCAAAGAAGCGCGGTGCAGGCGGCGAAACCACAGTACCTTTCTGGCGCGACAGGACTCGCAAGCCTTTGCCAGTCTTCTGCGCTTGGGCGCAGTGTCCCCATATTGATTCACGAAGGTAAGTTCCAGCGCCATAACGCCCGCTGATGTTACTTTTGGTTGACGTGCTTTCAGAGCTGTCCCAGAAGTCGACGCATCGGCATTCGATTCAATGTGGGGCCGAGGGGCCCTTCCAGGTCTCACCCGCTCAACGTGGCAGCGACAACGACAACAACTGGAACAACTACCACTGTCCAGCTACTCCAGTCGACTGAGAGCGTTGGGAAACTCGTGTCGGCAAGAGAATTTCTGACAGACTGGCAACATGGCAGCCAACACCAACAACATACTCATATTCGGGGCAACCGGCTTGATTGGCTCGCACATCACCAATGCAATCATCAGCAGTAAAGACAAATTCGGCAAGATTGCAATCTTCACGTCTGCAAATACAATCTGGACCAAATCAGACGAGATTGACGCGCTCAAGGCACAAGGAGTCGAGATAATCGCGGGCGATGTGACCTCTGCTTCAGACGTGAAAGAAGCGTACAACGGTTACGACACTGTCGTCTCATGCGTTGGACGTCCAGTGATTCAGAATCAGCTGAAGCTAATAGAATGGGCCGATCAGCATCCTGATGTCAAACGAGTATGCCATAACGAAGGTACAGTCAATAGGGGGTGTCCATGCTGACATGACAGTCAAGTTCTTTCCATCAGAGTATGGTACCGATATCGAATACTGGCCAAGCTCTGCAGACGAAAAGCCTCACCAGCAGAAGCTTAAAGTCAGAGCTCTTCTGAAGACCGTTAAGAATCTCGAGTATACTTATGTTGTTACCGGCCCATATGGAGATGCCGATACTCTCTTGTACCTGGCTGCCAAGAAGCCCGAAGACGAAGCCGAAGGCACATTCGATGTACAACGAAAGCGGGCTGTGCTTCTGGGTAGCGGTGACAACAAGATATCCCTATCAACGATGCGTGATGTTGGCAAGTTTGTGGTCGCAGCCTTGCTTCATCCCGAGGAGGCCAGGAACAAAGCTGTTCATGTCAATTCCTTCACTACAACGCCGAACGAGCTTTTGGCCGAGTTTGAGAAGCAGACTGGAGGCCAGAAGTGGAGCGTATCGTACACCAGCCTGGAAGAGCTGAAGAAGCTCGAAGACGAAGCTTGGTCTCAAGGATCTCCCAAGGCTGGCATGCTCACGCTGAGACGGATTTGGGCGTCTGGGGGTACTCTCTACGAAAAGAGAGACAATAACCTCATCGGCATGGAAGAAGGGCTTGACGATTTGCAAAGCACTGTTCGACAAGCAATTGAGGTCCAGGAGAAGCGCATCGCGGATGGCACCTAGTGCTAGGTTTAGACTTGGCCGCCTTCTTGTCGTGAGCTGACTTGGGTTAAGAGATTCCACACAGCTCCTTCGCTCGACTTTTCATAGTGTCAAAACCTTCGAGTCTTCGGCATACATAGTTCGTTGGTGGCAACGACATGTCACTCATGACGCGAGACATTTCCTAGGCCTTCCGGAATGTATTTTGCTGAAGCCACCGAGCATCAATAGAGGCTCATATACGATACTGACGAGTTGTCCTGGGCGAAGCAGAAGCAGATGAAAATCTGGTGGCTGGGAGGTGAGCGCGATCGGGTCGGCGATTGTCCCAGCGCCGCTCCGACTGATCGCCGGCACTTTCCGCGAGTGCTCCAACAACTCGGACGTTCGCCACTGCTGATTGGCAGCGCAGCTGCCAATCTACAGCGTCAACGCACATCGGAGTGAAAGAGCGCTTATGCATTCCAGGGTGTCGCGACCCTTGCTCAGCGGCACCGCTTGCTATACAAAGTATAGTGTGACTAGGTGTTGGAAGCTAATTAGTGCGATTGTTAGGAACTTTAGTTCTTTAGCTGGTTTGGTGACGATTAGGGTTAAGAACGAGGGTATTTAAAGCCGTATAGAAGGCTAGTTTAAAGACTGTAGACAACTATAGACAACTAAGTAAGCGCTATACTATCTACTACTATATTTGACCGCTATTAGCGTCAATTACTATACGATAGCGAGCCGGCATACTATTAATCTATTATTATACCAATTCTATAGGTACGTTATAGTATTCTTCGACAATTGCTAGCTAAAGGTTATAGCTAGTAGGTCTGTTTCTGCGGCGTTTAATTGCCTACTTAATTACTCGCTATAGGTTCTCGATAGGGTTTAAATCTAGTAATAAAGGTAGCTAGTTGTCTATAAGAATAATGCGGCGAGCTTGTAACTAATTAAGTGTGTATTTAGCTCTATATATAGGCGCCGAGTCTTGTTAGAAGAGTGCTGTTCTTAAGTGCAAGGCAGGCTCGTAACCGAGAGGGTATTCTTAGTTAGCAATAAGGCTATTTATACGACTAATCTCTTCTTAAACTAGTAGCAAGACCTTCTTATAGTATAACTCTTTGTTAATATTGCCCTATATCTTATCCTATAGTAGGAGTGGTCCTTTGCCGCTAATACTACTAATATAGGCCTATATTATCTAGTATAGAAGGCGTTAGAAGCGAGGCCTCGAACAGTAGTCTTAGTTGCGCTTACTAACTAGTCGAGTAACAAAGAGCCTCTCGTATAATCTATTGCGTATAGTATACTCGTCGCTCTATAGAACGTTTGCCTAGTCTTCTTTAGTAAAGTATTAATAGAATTAAGCCTATTTAAGGCGTAGGCGTCGAATACGGTCGTTATAGAAGGGCCGAGGGCGTATAACGCAGCGGCGATAACTATGCCTTCTATAGATACGAGAGACGGTTGCAGGACTACAATTCAAACCGAGTAAGTCTCTAACTTCCGTCTAAGTTATACGACGAGTTATAGCGTTCTAAGTAATATAGTCGACGATAAGGCGCTCTTAGGTGTCTATATAGAGCCTGCGGCTACGTCGTCGAGTTAGTACGTAGGCAAGGGCAATCTCTTAAGGAATAGGGCGCAAATAGTCGAATTCGTCGATTCGGTAGGCTCGGCAGCGCCTAGGAGTAAAAGGCTTATAAACGATGCGATAGATAGTCGACAATGCCTTACGAGACTACTCTAAGATGTAAATAAGCGGCTATTTAGCTATTCGGTATAGTTGTTTGATAGTGGTGCGTAGTTTGTATAGAAGCACGGCTCGGCGGTAGACTCGCTATTCGGTAGTTTGTTAGGTCGCGATTTCGTACGTTAGCAATAGCCCTAGCGGTCTAAAAAGAAGGGATTCAATGCTCGGCAGAGTTAACTAGCTAGATAGACGATTTGCAAGTAGTATAGTAGGCAGTATCGGGTACGATAAATTAGTATATTATATCGATAGAAATATTTAGAAGGAGGTATTAGAAGTGTTAGAAGAAGCTAGTGCCCCGCCTTCGGAGCTTTAATTCCGATCTAATAGGAATCGCCGGGTCCGCGGGCTAATCCGTACCGAGGCTAAGTTATTATCTAAAGATTAAGACTCTTATTTAGTTAAATCGATAACCTTAACCTATAAACGACGTATTTAGCTTAGAAGTTGCTGTTTAAGCTCGCGCTGCTCTCGAAGTTGCATCTCCGACTTATTATACTCTAGCGGACGGTCGTAAACAGGTAGTAGAACAGATAGTATACGGTCGCGCTATTAGATATAGAATTGATAGCGTAGAGGGTTATTAAACCGTAGAACCTAAGGGCGACGAGATTGCGATAACTGCGACAGAGCCGGCCTTAGTAGACTTCTAGACCGATAAGGCAATAGAGCTAGATTAAATGCCGGTATTGAACTAAGTAAATAGATAGAGGGCATAACTAATAGTATTAGACTTCTACGGCTACTAATAACGTCGGAAAGCAGGCGTAACTACGCTCTGTCTTCCTTACCTTGTTCGAGGGCTTTAATAAGAGCTAGACGGCGCTAGTCTAGTAGACGGTATACCTCTAGAAGATTAGTATATCGTTAATCGCGAAGAGCCGGCGTACTACGAGTGCGAATAGCGCTAGAACAACCCCTTCTGCGGCTATACTGCGCGTGCTACTCGTTAGTGTAAGTATACGGCATTGTAAAGGAACGAGAGAGAAGCTAACTATTTAATAGGGGACTCTATGCACGTAGACACTACCGAAAGTACCTATTTATCGCCGACTACTCCTCCGCGCCTCCTCTATAATTACACTCTCGAATACTATTAATCTAGTATAGACCTACTCCTAATTATATAACGACCTTCAGCTTACTTCTAAATTACTCCTTCTTCCTTTCTTTAATATTGCAAAAAGCTTATAAAATGATATATTATTAAATCTACTAAAAGATAGTCTATATATACCCTAGATAGTGCCTATACGTAACTTCTAAGCCCTCTAGTCGGAGGAATTGATAGCTAAGCCTTCCTATAGGTGCTATACTTAGCCGCGGCGCCAATACCTCGATTTGGTATAGGACACTGTAATTAGCGGTACCGGAAGTGCTAATATTATGCACCTTCTAGGGCTCCGGACGCTAACTTTCACTCCGATGTACGTTAACGCTATAGATACCGCGGCCACCGCCCGCGAAAATCCAAGTTGTCCGCTAAGACCGAAATAATTAGCTAAGAAATTTCGCAGAAGTAATATACAATCAAAGATTGAAGGGAAATTTGACTTACCCCGGATTTCAGCGTAGAACGTTAATCGAAACAATAATTAAAGTAAAGGGGAATTTAACTTACCCCGCATTTCTTAGCTTATTAGCTAGGGTATTAGCTTAATAGTAGTAATATTTAATTAAAGATTTAAGTACATTTCCTATTAATTGGGTATAAAGGTGTTAGCTTAATAGTAGTAATATTTAATTAAAGATTTAAGTACATTTCCTATTAATTGCGTATAAAGGTATTAGCTTGATAGTAGTAATATTTAATTAAAGATTTAAGTACATTTCCTATTAATTGCGTATAAAGGTATTAGCTTAATAGTAGTAATATTTAATTAAACATTTAAGTACATTTCCTATTAATTGCGTAGTAGTAATATTTAATTAAAGATTTAAGTACATTTCCTATTAATTGCGTATAAAGGTGTTAGCTTAATAGTAGTAATATTTAATTAAAGATTTAAGTACATTTCCTATTAATTGCGTATAAAGGTATTAGCTTGATAGTAGTAATATTTAATTAAAGATTTAAGTACATTTCCTATTAATTACGTATAAAGGTGTTAGCTTAATAGTAGTAATATTTAATTAAAGATGTAAGTACATTTCCTATTAATTGCGTATAAAGGTATTAGCTTAATAGTAGTAGTATTTAATTAAACATTTAAGTACATTTCCTATTAATTGCGTAGTAGTAATATTTAATTAAAGATTTAAGTACATTTCCTATTAATTACGTATAAATAAAAAAAATAGCTAGTATAGGACTCGAACCTACGACCTCTTAACCCCTATCGATCTTATAACTCCTTTAAGATATATGCCTTTATATAGATAGATAGATAGATAGATATTTCATTCGCCTATTGTAGTGCCTTTCGGCCTATGTAGGTCTGTTTCTATGCATTGTTTTAGGTAGGAAACCAACTTAGTTAGTAAAAACCTCCCTCCTGTCCTATTTATAAGTGTTAATCTTCCTTGTTTCCTTGTTCTCCTTCCTCTAGGGTGCACTAGTGTTATAGTTGTTACCCTCTAACTACCTTGCCTACTGCCCTACCCTTCTTTCCCCCTCTTCTTCCCTCCTTCTTATCTACTCCTTAGTTTCCCTTGCTAGTACGAATTGTTGTACAAATCCCTATTTAATAATCCACTTTACTATCTTCTTTAGGTCTTCTTTGCTCTAGATTAGCTTGTCGTATTCCCTTTCTATTGCTTTTAGTCTCTAATTACTTCTGCCTTCTAACTATTAAGGGCAGACTAGCAGTATATACTTAGGGTTCTAAGATTGGTAGCTATATTAGTAAGCCCTGCTTTTAATTCCTAGGACGTTTCTTCTAAATAGGTAAGATCTGAATCTAATGTGTTTAGATCTGATTTAGATAGTTAGGCTTGCCTCGGCCCTATTTAGGTCCTTATAGAACTAGTAGTTGTATTAACCAAATTTGATTAGTGCCTTTAGGGTTCCTAGTCTAACTTGTGTTTTGTTCTATTCCTACTCTTATAGGTGTCTAGTAATTAATTCTATTAGGCTTTGTTTCTCTCCCTTTAGTTTGTCTTCCTTTAGCCTTATATTTAGTCCCTAAAGCTCTTTCTCTAGCATTTCTCTTGTTAAGACTCTATATTGCTCTAGGTCTTTAACTTTCTAGGGAGTTATTTGTAGTCTGTCTCGCCTCCTAGTCCTAATATACTAGGCTTTTATCTTGTCTAGTGCCTTTTAGATAGTCTGTTAGGCTAGGTATTCTATTGTCTTTGCTATATATTAGTGTCTTAGTCCCTTAAAGTATTGTTTAACTAGTAGGATCCCTAATTCTATTTCCACTACCCTTATT